GCTAATCGGAGGTGCGGTTAACACCTCCGAATTTTTCTCGGCGGCAGGTTCAGTGCAGGTGGTGGGTGGCTGGCACCGCCACCACGCCCAGCCGCCTCTGTCTCCACAATCCTGATATTACGGGACTTTACCGAAAGAACCAAGAAGATGAATCCCTGCAGTCACGAAAGCTTTAAATCGAAATTTAAAAATCCTAATATTCACACATCACACGAGGTATTCATTTAAGGCTGAGGTGACCTAGGGAAGGCCCAAGGCCAGTTCATATATTCGCCAAAGACAAAGATCCCCCATATAGCCTTAACAGGCTGTTGAGGCAAGTACTGTTAGCGAGCACTTACGAAGGCCGGAACGGCACACGAAGTGGGTGGCTGGCCAGTGCCACATCGGGGCCGCCTTTGTCTCCCCTGTTTACACAGGTACTCATTTGAGGCTGAGTCGACCTAGGGGAGGCTCATGACCGGTTCAGATGATTGTCGCTGGTGCTGGCCATGAACGGGATTCTAATTTGGATCGCCGGGTTTATAGCGCAGCGCACCAACCGCCCCACTACTGCCACAATAGTATAAAGACACACACACACTACCTATCTATTTATTCATTGCGCATTTAATGAATGCATTTGCAGTGCTATTTTTAAATTCTTCTCCACTCCCCGCGCCCGCTTGGCCATAGCACAGCGTTATCGACAGTGCGACACGATGTGAAGGGGAGGACATCATCTTCTTGGTTCTTTCGGTAAAGTCACGTAGAAGGGAAATAATAAAATAATAAAAATAAAACATAATAAAATAATTCTCACGACGTGGCCGAAACGTCGTGAGAATTATTTTATTATGTTATATTTTATTATTTTATTATTTCCCTTCTACGTGACTTTACCGAAAGAATCAAGAAGATGAATCGCTGCAGTCACGAAAGCTTTAAATCGAGGACATCATCCTTTGTGGAACTCTTCCCCCCCCCCCCCGCTTCACCCCCCACTTGCCCCCCCCTCCCTCCCCACGCAGACGGGGAGTCTCAAATCACATTGTGCAACAAATGCCAGAAGCGACTAATGTGATTGCCCGCACATAAAGATGATTAGATCGAGCGTTCCATTGTCGCGTAACTTGAGTGTTCAACAGTTTTAGGGGGCTTTTGGTTGGATGTGACGCGCGTGTGTGTTTTGTGTGGGTCTGCGTGGGTTTGAGCCTAGTGGAGTGTGAGAGGGTGGCGTAAAATTACTTATAATGCTGAGGTGGAGGGTCCGGCCTGAAAGCCATTTAGGGACGCAGAAATATTTCACGTTGACGAGTGAATTCTCAATGAAGAGAAACAAAATTATGCATACTCATGGATTCTGACGCTTTCCCAGTGAGCGTTTTTGTCCCCTTGGGAGTGTTTCGTTGGCGATTCTAGCGGTACGAGATGATAACACGCAATGTGTGATGTGGATAGACCCCTGGGTGATGATGATGATGATAACAACGGTGAGACTAAAGTCACGTAGAAGGGAAATAATGAAATAATAAAAATAAAACATAATAAAATACAGACCTGTTCTTCACCTGAGGACGGCTGCTTGCGTCGTGGCCGAAACGTCGTGAGAATTGTATTTTATTATGTTTTATTTTTAACGGCGAGACTGTCATTTTAATTAATCATTTTGGTTGAAAGCAAGTGCAGTATAAGTAGAACTCCGTTCTCTGCCGCCGCATATACTGCACGTACAAATATGTTTTAGTCCGTCAGTCTATCGGCTCTCCAGGACATTGCTATCAATCAAGCAAACTCTCGACCTGTTTCGACCTTGTGGGTCTCATCACCAGTCGGGATCGTTAAGCAAGTGGCCCTGGATTTCCGGATATTATTGGCGAGAGCACTCCATGTAAACTACGGTACCCGCCTTCAACCCAAAAATCAATGCCGTGTACGCGAACTCGTGTTGCGCTTTGCCGTGGAGCATTATGAGCAAAAGTAAAATACAAAAATACAAAATCAAATCTAGAAAAAAAAATACAACGATCTTTTTAAGGTCCGTGCTTTCCAGATCAGCATTATTCAGCAGCATTTACTTTCGCGAGCAAACTCCGAACCGGTTCTAAACATCTTCAGTCTCATCAGCAGAGCGGTCAGCCTATTGACCAAACCATTTGGATAATGCAATGATGGCGCAAGCTCCGCTCGTCGTTTAAGCGAGCAGAGGGAGGGCTGCTGGGACCGATACGAGGCGGCTGCTAGGTCGTGTTTTGTATTTGCTCTGCAGTTGCCCCAGCGCTGTAAGAAACCCTAGCTGCCGGAAGGAAGCATGAGCAGAGTGTAAATATGCCCCCCCCCCCCCCCTGGAAGAGAGCGGGGGGGGGGGAGAGAGCGAGAGAAAGGGAGAGCGAGCGAGAGAGAGAGAGGACAGTCGGTCAACGTGGCAGCCACTTGCTATTCACTGTGCCGCTGTGAAACGCCGTGGCGAATGTCACAGGCGCACAAGCGAGCGTTTGGCAGGCCCTGGTGGGTTTAGCATGCAACAAACGAGGGAGCCGATTAGTGTGTACGTGCGTGTGTAGCAGTTGAACGGTAGTGCAGTGAGAATTGTACTTTATTATGTTTTTTATTATTTTATTATGTCCCTTCTACGTGACTTTACCGAAAGAACCAAGAAGGTAGTGCAGTGGTTGGCATGCTGCACCGCAAAACCCGGTGACTTGAGTTCGATTCTCGCTTACAACCAATAACGGTTGGTGGATATTTCAACCGGTCCTGGGCCTCTGCTAGATCGACTCAGCCTTAACTGGGTGCATGGTACAGTGTGTAAACATCAGCACTGGGGAGACAAAGGTGGGCGGGTGTCGTACTGTCCACCCACTGCCTTCGTGTGCCGTGTCGGCCTTAATTAGGTGCTCGCTAACGGCACTTGCCCCAAAAGTCTGTTAAAGCTATCCGGGGGATCTTTGTCTTTGTGTCTGTGTGTGCATGCAATCGTGTAACACTGGCAGTCACTCAACCGTGAGCAGATTTTTGGAATTGCGTAATAAAAAAAGTTAATCGTTAATGACGGATGAATGTACATGTGAAAATAATTTGATGTTCTGTACTGCGATGTCTTTGATCCAGTGCTGGGTGACGGCCTCCCCTGGGGTTTGTTTGACCATACTTCACTACACTTGCCAGTACGTGTCGGTGAAGACGCGACCTAACCACTGCGCCACCGCTCCGTGCCTTATTATTAATAGAAAAAAATGCGATGCTTGCTTTGTCATTTCCACTTGTTATTGATGTTAGTCCCGGCTGGGTAATACAACTAAATTATCCGGATTTGTAGCGTGGTGCGTACACCATTAAGGCACTGCTGCAGCCACACAAATACGTGTGATAAAAAAACATCGATTCCAACACACGGCATTGCATGCATGTATCCCTTGTTTAAGAATTATCGATGGTAATCTACGATGGGAAGCTGCCGTGGTGGTAACGGTTATCACACTGTATTTTTCAATCCAGAGGTCGCTGGTTAGAGATCTCCCTGCATTGCAGCTGAAGCAACGGGTGCAAGTTTCTTAAATCACCGCCTCTGTCCACGCAGCGGTATCAATGTGTTGATGCACGGGAAGTCGATCAGGAGGTTTGCATGTGGTGGGGTAGAGTGTGGTTACTCCCACCTCTTCCGAAAAGTCTGGCCTGCGTGAAAGAGGAGGTCAAAATGCCCTCTCTCTCTCGAGGGGTGCTCCAGAGCTCCCATCTGGTGGAGGCCCTTGTGCCAGCAGTGGCGTGAGCAGGCACTTTCAGGGCTGCACCTTTACCTTTTGCGAGCCGATGCGCCTTTACATCCTTGTTGGTTGTAACGGTGCGATGCAAATGCAGCGGTTGGGGGTCGTGGTGGGGAGGGGGCAGATGAAGACAAAAACAGAAAAACAGAAAGCTGCGTTGTTCCTAAATAATAATAAAAATCAAGGGACATCTGTGCTGAAAAGCAAAAACCGAAGAAAAAAAAATATCACAAATCCACCCCCAGCCCCTTCAATCCCACAGCAAAGGGGGGGGAAAAAACAACCGGCAGAAACACACAGTGCCTTTGTGTCGGCCATGGCGAGAGAACGATGCGGCGGATGTAAAGATTTTGTGAAGAAGGCGGCAGCGGGGTTTGTGCGTGCGGTGCTGGCCCGGGTGGAATGATGGCCGGTGGGTGGGTGGAGGGGGGGGGCGGCGGTGGTGGCAGTGGTGACCGGGAAAGCTGGGGGGCTGGGCGTGCAGAGAGGGAGGTGTGAGGGGGGTGGTTGTGTGGGGGGGCGGGGTGCAGGTTGGGGTGGCAGCTTCCCATCGTGTTGTACGTTGCTGCGCCGCTGGGAGGGCAGGATGACGGGGAGGCGCGGAGACATCCTGGCCGTCCGTGAACTCGGGTTTTACTTACTCGAGCCGTGGCGGTGGTGGGGGAGGAAGCTACTCCTGAATGATCCCATTGTGGTGGACACGGAGGGCAGGAGTGGAGAATGGGGTCTGATCCTGGTGCCTACCCAGGAGAGAGAGGTGGCAACTGAGAGTGAGCAACGAAGGTGGTTGGCGGAGAGAGGGGAGACTGAGCGTGGGCTGGTGCAAGGAGTTGTGGCCAGGGTGGGTGGGTGGGTGAGGTGGTTGCCGGCTAGGATAGGGTGTGGGGGTTGGGTGGGGGGATTGGTGGAGGGGGGGGAGAAGAGGAGGAGACCCAGGGCTCGAGTTGGGTTTTTTTGTCGAAGTGGAGTGCGAGAGGACAGGAGAGGGAGGTGGGGGGTGAATATTGTGCGAGTCTTTCTCTCGGCGAGCGTGGGCATGCGTGGGCCAAGGGGGAGAGTGAGCGAGTGACGGAGCGCGAGCGAGCGGCCGGGCGAGCGTGTGAGATAGACGGAGCGAAAGGGAGAGCAGAGACAAGAACAAGGGCCAGAGGAGGAGCGGCAAACGGAGCTCGAGGGTGGGTGGGTGGGGGGAGGGAGCGCTGGGCAAGAGTGCAAAGAAGAGAAAAGCTACAGGGGGAAGGAGAGAGAGAGGAGAGGGAGGAGGGAGGGAGACTGAGGGAGAGAGAAACCGAGAGAGAGAGTAAGTGGAAAGCAGCAGAGAGAACGGAAGCAATTTACTCCTTCCATTAAGACCTCTCGGGAACTGTTTCGTGGTACCGCGCTCCTTTAAAAAAAACGCATCCGTCGCTCTGGCCTTTATATTTTTTTTGCGCTCGACTTCTCTGCACCCACCGGCTGTGTGGAGCTCGAAAACACATGGGGTGTTATTGGGACGACGGCTGCAACGAGAGAGAGAGAGAGAGACAGGCGAAATAATTTGTCATCGTCGTCCGTCAAGCCCGCGTCAACACGCCGCCGACCACGAAAACGCTGAGTGATCGCGCGGGAGTTGAATCGAGCTTCTACGCGGAAATTTGCAGGTATCAGGCGGTTGGTAAATCTGACTAATCGTGCAACAGCGGGGGGGGGAACACAATAGAAACTCTGTTTTGCCGTCTTCTAAGGACTTGGTAAAAGTCGCTCCTTTAAACAGGACGCTCGTTAAAAAAATTAATCGGCTGCGTTCGGCGCTTTTCGATTGAAGGCCGTTAGTCGGCCTTAGGAGAGAGAAAAACGAAACGGGAACACTAATGAAGCGCAATGCCAATTGTTAGGAGAGAAGTGTTGACTTTGGCTGTCCCGCCCAGCTTAATGCGCAACGCAGACTCATGCCGGTAAACAAAATAAAAGTACGAATTAGTTTCGTTCCGCCAAGAATGCTCGTAAAAACCCGTAACGTTGGTGGAACGTTGAAGCTCTTCTAATTCCATCAAGTTCAGAAAAATCCAGCAAACCTCTCGTTGCTCTTCCAAGCGGGTGTACGAAGCTGTAGACCTGGGACTCGGGACGTCTCAGACCCTAGGGACAAATAAGGTGTTTGTGGTTTTCTCTCGAGTAGAACGGTGGGGAAAACGCCAGCAGCGAACATCCGAAGCCAAACAGACCGTCCTGGCACGGGACACTGGCGAGGAAATGGCGACCTCCCGACCACCGTCCCGTTTCGCCGGCACGCCCCGCGCTGGATCCGTTCTGAGTTCAGGGGCCTTCAGGACATGAGGGCGACCGTCACAGCAATAGCGGAGGCGGCGGTGACGGTGCCGGTAGCGACGGTAGCGGCGGTAAAACCCTCGGTCAACGCTCGCAAGGCGACCCGCCGGTCGGCATGATCTCCCGACCCAAGTACATGCGCATACGCGAGTCGGACTCCGGTGACGTCTCGCCAGAACCCGCGCCGGAACATCCGGCACGCGCCACCGCTGGCAGCCCGCCGCCGGACGACGCGGACAGGTGGTCGGCGCGATCGTGCGACCGGTTGCTGCCGCTGCCCTCGCCGGCGGAGCTGCCGGCGCCGAGCAGGAGCGACTCGGACGGGACCCCGCGATTGTGGAGGCGGCAACGTCGGCGCCATCTCTCGGACTCCGACTCCCGGCTCGCGTTCGCTCCCACCGCGCCGGGCGACGCGCCACCCGGCGCCGTCGGCGGCGGCGGATTTGGCGACGGAGAGGACGAAGAGGGGGAGGAGGATGACGATGTCAGCGAGGACAACGACCCAGAGGGGGAGGAGGACCGCGATGCCGAGAGGGGGCAGGAGGAAGAGGAGGAGACCACGACGCTCTGCGCGTTCCTGCCGCGGATGCGAGGGCTTAGCCGCGGCCGCCTGGGCCTGCGCTCGCTGGTGCGGGAGTTGGCCACCATCTCCCGGATGAGCTGTGAGGGCCCCGCGAGGGACGGCTGTGCGTCGCCGTCGCGCGCGCCCGTGCCTCCGGCCCCCTCCTCGGGCGGCGGAGGCGGCGCCGGCGCCGGCGGCGGTGGCGGTGGAAGCGCCAGCAAGGTGACCCCCCCTTGGCAATGAGAGTCACGCACTGCGCCGGGAGACGTCTAGTAACGTTCCGGGCGCTTTGCAACCGCTTTTTGAAAATCGGAATCGGAATGTTTATTTAGACTGGAGTAGGAGGAGGAGGAGTCTGATGAGGCTATGGGGAAGCTCTTTTTGCACAGATATCCTGTAGCAAGTTGCAAACAATACTACACAACAATAGGAGTGCAAAGTAGAGAGAAAGGTAAGCAATTCGCTCTAAATAAGTAAATGACAACAAATAATGTAAATACAAATTGCTTAAGTACATACATTGCTGCTGATTGTTCTACACTAAATGCAAGGCCTGGTGGCAAGGCAGCAAAACAACAACAACAACAGTCCCAGACCACGGCAAGACAATCGGCGTGTTTTGGCCGTTGTGGGATGCCATGGTCGTCTTGTGGCCCCACTCACCCTTCGTTGTGAGCTCTCCAAACTTCTATGTATGTTGAACTTCTTTCGCACCGTACGTAGCCAACCGTGCTAATCGGAGGTGCGGGGGAAGGACAACAAACTAAGCACAAAGAGCAGTTCTACAGAAATGAGTTCTCAATGTAGTATAGTGTATAGTAGTGGACAGTGTAGTGCGTAGTAGTGTATGTTCTAGCGTCGTGTATGGTGTATTGTATAGTAGTGTAGTGTGTAGTAGTTTGCATGTATATTGAACTGCTTTCGCACCGTACGTAGCGACCCGTGCTAATCGGAGGTGCGTGATGTTTTGACGGACAGGCTTGACAAAGAGGTCCCTGGTCGCAACCATTAAGGGGAGGATTTGGCCCAAAGCCCCTTTCTTGTCTCCAGCATGCTCTGCCTGCTCGGTTCCAAACGAGAGGCCTTTGGGACCAAATCTCCACTCGGGGTCTCGCACCAGAGACATCTTGCCAAGCATGTCCATCGAAAGGTTATGCGAGGGCAAACCCATGAGGTCGGAAGAGTTCGCAGAGAAGGGTGCAAGGGGTCACACTCGTGCATTACTCCTACGCGAGAAAGTTGTTGAAGTTCTTTGCTATTGTACAATTTTGACCGTCTTAATGGTTAGCCGGTGCGTTGCGTGTTTATTCTCTTAAGCATTTGCAACGCTGCTGCTGCGGGTATCGGCGGGAGTCTGACATGGGATTCCTCAACTCCAAACTCTTCACCTCGGCGAAAATAGCAGCGGATTTTTTACACCGTGACTGGGTTTGTGCAGCGTCAATTCCGAATTTTACTTAGGCTGCTTATATTGTATAAGGAACATTTGTGATATTCTATCGCCTCGAGAAAGAGTCCTTCATTGTGAAAACACAATCAGTGTGCACCGACCTTATACAAAATTGACAGGAAGTGACTAGAGCCATTTTAATGTTCATGGAGTGGTGAGATTTGTTTGTGTGCCCGTGCTAGGTGGATTATTACATTGATTATTACATCTGTCATCTGTCTGTCATCTCGGTCAGTTGACCCATAACCCCTGAGTGTCATGTGACTTCCTGCCAGCAGCAAGCCTTCCACACTTCACGTGATGGCGCACAAAGTGCACCTAGCCTGGCACAAGCCATGTTGACATCACGGCCACTTTGTGGCGAATGGGGGCTTTTGTTATTATTACACGGCAGCATCGTTGAGAGTGATTGATCATAGCTGATGATGATGATACATTTTTTTTTACTAGAAACCAAATGAAATACACAGGTAATTACCCAACATTCCAACCTAATAGAGTGGTGTGAAACATTCTTGTGCAGTGCTTCACCCTTTGACCTGGTAAAGCATGAGCCAACATTTAAAAACAGTGTTGCCCCTTGCATTAAAGCGGCACAGGTCTCCACCACCCCCTTTTTGCGGCTGTGTGGGTTGCCGCCGTCGGCTCTTGAAGACGGCCAGCGGTAGTGCGTGGCGAAAGACGGAGGGAAGAAGTGTGTGGCAGAACCAGAGGTCGCAAACGGGTTTTGATTCCTTACCCGTACCCGGCCGCACCAGGGTCGCAAACGGGTACCCGTACCCGTACCCGGCCGTACCCATACCCTATCCGTACCTGGCCGGGTACGTGTAGGGTACGGGTATCGGGTACCTGATTGCGACCTCTGGGATGAAGCCATGTTGCAGGCGCGGGTGGGTTGATTCTAGGAACTTGAATTGTGAGAAGAGACAAGACGTTGGGAAATGAGTGACAAACAGTTACTCACCAGTGACTCGTGGTCTACCCGTACCCGTACCCGGCCGCACCAGGGTCGCAAACGGGTACCCGGGTAGGGTACGGGTATCAGGTACCCGGTTGCGACCTCTGGGCGGAACCCGGCCATGCTCGCCGCACTGCGATTGACAAACGGCCGAGAAAACCTCTACGATGAATTGTCATCGTGCTCTTTTGAGGAAGCGACCCACCCCACGTCCCCCACTGCTTCCCACGTCTGCAGGGCGCCTTCCTCTGAACTCGCATCGGAAATCTGAAAGTGATTGCAAAATGTTTTCAAGCCATTGTCGACGAAACTACCGACGCTGGCAGGTTTTTGCTGCTGCTGCTACTGCAGTGTTTCATTTGAGATTTGCGGTCGCTCGGTGGCGTGGCTATTGAGTGTGCAAGCGGTGTAGCTGCAAAAGCGCCCACTGACCAGAGGGCCCCATGCCAAACACGCTCTACGGCTGAGACAGGTACACTTGCGTAGAGACCCACGGAATCACGCCTAGAGGCCCACGGACTCGCCGAGAGGCTCACATACTCTCGTAGAGACCCACGAACTCACGTAGAGGCCCATGGACTCGCGTAGAGACCGGCAGATTCGCCTGGAAACCCACGGAATTGCGCAGAGACACGGACTCGCGCAGAGACCCACGGTTGAGATGTCTTTTTTTCTATGAATATTTTGCGTTGCTTCATAACGCAAAGGAGACTTGATTAGCGTGAGATACTCTTATGACAGATTCCCACTGCTGGAGTTGATAGCGTCGGGAGAGTGTGAGTCTGAGTTGATGCCCTTACGGTGCTGGCCTTGCGTAGAGGGACTCGTTCAACTCGGGTCAGTCGCCTCCCTATCGCTCTTCTATCGCTACTGCCGTGGTCATCGTGCACGCACGCACACACACACTTTAGTCTCACCCACACCGCAATCAAACACCGTGCCGCACTGCTCCACTTCTTCCCCACCCCGTAATCTCGTTGCCAGCTTCCTCATAACTGCTCGATTCCAGACACGCAGTCAACTCTTTGTCTCTCTTGTACGTTTGGTCGTGCCGTCTGTTGCTGGTCGCTCGGCGTCTTTGACCTCTGCTCTGCGAACGTGATTATATAAAAAAAAAACACGAGGCCTTGGGGGACCCCCCCCCCCCTCTCCACTGCATCAGCAGTCCACAGTGCCAGGATCTTGGCAGAAGTAATTGGGGTTTACATTTTTTTTACTTTTTTTATGGTGAGACTTGGCTTGTCCTGGAGTGAACTTGTGTTAAAAAAAATCCAATGTCCCTATGAGGACAGGTGGTCGTAGTTATGTGCTTCAATGTTTTGCCCTTAGTTGAACCGTTAGCCGTTTAGAATGCGACAATTATAGTGTCCATGATGATGACGATGTTGACAACATCCAGCTGGTTGGGTTTTCTGATCAAGTCCAAAGATAAAGATGTCCCCCAGTGTAGCCTTTCACAGACCGGGCACCTATTACGGCAGGTACGGCACACACGTGCGTACATTGGTGCTGTCGTCACTGCCTCTTGCGAGACATCATCATCGTCGTCGTTGTCATTAGCGGCGAGACATCATCGTCGTCGTTGTCATCAGCAGCGAGCGATATCAGAACCAGGTCCCGGTGCCCCCCCCCCCCACCCATACCGCCCTTCACCATCCCGAGCTAAAACGCATGGTGAAGTATGGTCAAACATCAGGTACACCCTGGTGTCATCTGTTCCCTGAGTGGCATTAAATGGTACCCAGCACCGGCCTGCAAGCGGGCATGAGGCTGTCAGTAGGGGGCGATGTTGCTTATTGGTGAAAACCAATAGGTGGTGAAAACCAATAGCAACAGCAGCACTTTTGCTTTGCACTGCTACAGAGAGAAGTTTGCCTTGGTGTGATAGTCAACCAGAAATGTTAAATTCTTAGCGCTGGAGTATTGCCAAATGATGTGGTGCCGAACCAAATTTAACGTGATATTTTTTTTTGCGTGGTCTTCCAGTAAATGGGCTATTGGTTTAAAACCAACAGCAACGGAATTGTTAGTTTTTCCGAGTTGAGCAAATCTTAGAATTTCGCAAAAATGTGTGTCGCCACCACCGCAGGACTCGAGTCGCTACACGAGCGGGCGAGCGGGGAGGGGCGACCCCGGCGACGAGTGGAGAAGCAACGGCAACTTCATCAGCAAGCCGACACGCGGATGGATCCATGGTGACGATCAGATCATGGGCTCTGGCGTGGCCTATACTGTGCGGGTGAGACACGCACCCACAAAAGACAAAGATCCCCCGTTTGGCCTCAACGGACTGTTGGGTCAAGTGCTGTTATCGAGTAGCACCTATGAAGGCCGGTACGGCACGTTGGATTCCTCCAGTCTAAATAAAGATTCTAATTCTAGAAGACGCGATGATCACCATCATCCCCAATATCTGTGCAGCGAAACTCAAAATATCCACCACCAAAAAATCCGCATTACAAAACTCCACGAATCTTGAAATCCGCGTCCCCACGTACAAAAACAAAGATACCCCATCTAGCCTTATCAGACTGTTGGGGCAAGTGCTGTTAGCGAGTACACACCGTACACAAAGACAAAGACCCCCCGTATAGCCTTAACAGACTGTAGGGGCAAGTGCTGTTAGCGAGCACCTATAAAGGCCGGCACGGCACACGAGGGGGTGGGTGGCCAACACCACGCCCGACCGCCTTTGTTTCCCCAGCAGCGATGCCCCTACATCGTACCCCAGGTACTCATTTGAGACTTAGCTGACCTAGGGGTGGCCCAGGACCCGTTTCAGATAATTGTCACTGGTGTTGGCTCTACGTACGTATGCACACACGCAGCGTGCGGGCGAGACACGCACGGTGACGCCACGCATCTTGCTCCGATTGACGTCATCTCGTACGGGCTCGGAACCTGCGCCAAATTTTTGGGACCACCTCGAAGTTTTGTCTCTTGGCCACTTTGCATTCTGCCATCTTTGTCCTCATGTTAACTGACTCTGTGTGAATGTAATTTTACAACGTATTTGCCATTTATATTACGGGTTTTTTTTGCATCTTTTATTTGTGGACTGATTTTATCTTCTTGGTTCTTTCGGTAAAGTCACCGACTTTACCGAAAGAACCAAGAAGATGAATCCCTGCAGTCACGAAAGCTTTAAATCGAGACTGATTTTATGTTGTCTGCCAGCCGAGTCACCCTTGGGAAACAGAGCTTCTTAGCTCGATGGGCTTTACTCGGTGGGAAACAAACTTCTGATTGTTAACCTACGTCATCATCCCCAGTTAATTGCACCTGAGGACAGATGCGTTTTGGAACTGCGTTGTCGGATCCGTGCGGCGTTTGGACGATTTTCGCCCGCCTGCTTTTTATTTTGTTCATCGGCGTTGTTCAAATCGCTCGAGGACCCATTGAGGCTACTTGTCTGTTTGCAATCGAAGCTAACACGGTGCAGCAGCTATCCGCTTCTCTTGATCGGTCAAGAAGTCATCTTCCTGTACCCCCCCTAAGTTCGTCTCTCTACTGGCGGCCGGGGCGTGGTGCTGGCCACCCACCCCCTCGTGTACTGTACCGGCCTGTATAGGTGCTACTCGATTTAAAGCTTTCGTGACTGCAGGGATTCATCTCATTGGTTCTTTCGGTAAAGTCACGTAGAAGGGAAATACGTGACTTTACCAAAAGAACCAAGAATAAGAGAGATGTTTGTCTTGGTATGACAGTCAAACCGATATTTAATATTCTCAGAGCTGGAATATTGACAAATAAATTGCAGAACCAAATTTAATGCGGTGATATTTGTTGTTTTGGTCTTCCAGTACATGGGCTGCGTTGAGGTTCTCAAATCGATGCGGTCTCTGGATTTCAACACTCGGACTCTTGTGACCAGGTAAGAATCCACTGGTAGAATCTCATCCCCCTTTTAATCGAAGAATCGATGATGGTCCAAATCTGTCGTGCGTCGATTGAGCAGGGCGCGGTGCCTCATTAGCCGTTGGAACAATAGACCATCGCCGTGCAGGAAGTCGACCATAATTAACGAGCCTAGATGCTGCTTCCTGCTTGCGCTGTGAACCCTGCGACTGATTTCCGGCCACGGGAAATATCGGTGTCGAGCGATATCTGAACCGGTCCTAAGGACCGCTCCTCCAACCCCCCCCCCCCCGCTCTGTGTATGTACGTTGAACTTACTAATAGGGTTTTTCCCCTTTTTTCTGGCAACAAAACTGACACGTTTTGCAAGGAATCATGCTTACATTAACCACAATACTTGCAGTCAAATGCAAACAAAATACAATATTCTGATAATTTATGCTGTGGACCAATCAGTTTCAAAGACAATGCATAAATTATCAGAGTATTGTTTTTTGTTTGCATTTGACTGCAAGTATTGTGGTTAATGTAAACATGATTCCTTGCAAAAGGTGTCAGTTTTGTTGCCAGAAAAAGGGGAAAAACCCCTATTAGTATATTTTGGTACTGGCAAAGGAGGTCCCATGATATGTTGAACTTCTTTCGCACCATATGTAGCCAACCGTGCTAATCTCTCCCCAATCACCAACCTGCACTGTCCAGTAGTATGATGAAGTATGGTCAATCACCGACCCCCCCCCCCCCCCCCCACGATGAACCCTGCTTCAGAAGGGCTTCATCCAGCAGTGGAGTGACAAAGGGGTGGTGTGGAGTTGGGATGGTCAAACCTTGGCCACTCGCTTTTTCAGCCACCGATGTTCGCCGTGGCCAGAAATGAGCTAACGACTGCGCCGCCCCCCCTCCAGCTTGGCGTCGTGGTGTCACGTGACTCCCGCAGCCACTGGACGTGCTGATTTCTAGAGCAGGGGCGGCCAGCCTGTAACAGACCGAGAGCCAAAAAGTAGCCATGATTTCTGAAAAGAGCCAAATGCATATACAGGTAGTCCCCGACTTACGATGGAGATGCGTTACGACGACCCCATCGTAAGTCGAAAATATCGTAAGTTGAAGATGGCCTAGCCTACCCAGGAGTCTTAAAGGATGGTGATAATTTAGCAAAACAAGAGCAATTTACAGGACCGTACTGTATAAACTATATACTGTATGTGTTTATTAATTACAATAGTGTATTGCACAGTAACATTTTAAGTAAAAAAACAAGGTAAATTCTTAGCCTACCTATATGAACTGCAATTTCATTGAAAGTTTTTTCAGGAAACATTCCTATCTGCTATAAAAACTTTTAACATTCATTGAACACCGAGACAACTTAACTCCGTCGACCGCTGATGAGAGTGAGAGGCATCACCACACAAGGCGGGAGATGCGTACAGTACATCCCGGCAGCGTCCCAACGTACAGTATCGTATCTCGTACGCTGCTGCGTTTGCCTGCCGCGCGAAATGTAAAATATTTAACAATTTAGTCGTATCGCCATCGTAAGATCGAAATATCGTTAGTCGGACCATCGTAAGTCGGGGACTACCTGTATATATATGTGTGTGTGTATATATATTGACAGTTTTCGACACAGCATGGGAGACATTCATTATTCTTTGCTACTGTGATAGTGTGTCCTGCGCTACGCCCCCTTCGATAGTCACATGTGGTGGATTAAAGAGCCGAGCGAGGCTCAGGAGATGCCAGTTCGCCACCGCTATCCTAGAGGCATGTGGAGGCCGGCCAGGCATAAGACTTCACGTCTTCATAGAATTTCTGCGGGGAGACGCTTTGACAAGACGACTTTTGACAGTGGCAATCGCCTTCCTGTCCGGTTTCTGGCGTTGCGTAGGCCTGTGCGTGCGTACACGCGGTGGGCCAGCAAAACCTCTGTCGCAAGAGGCGCAGCGGTGGTTGGTAGCGGAGGCGGTGGTGGTAGTGGAGGTGGCGGTGGAATTGTTAGTTGGCAGTGGTGGTAGCTGATGCGGCTCTGGCGGTCGTGGAGATGGAGGTGGTAGTGGTGGTGGTAGTGGCTGTGGTGATAGTGGAGGCGATGGTGGTAGTGGAGGTGGCGGTGGAAGCGGTGGTGGTAGCAGTGGCGGCTGTGGTTGTAGTGGAGATGGAGGCAGAGGTGGTGTGGTAGTGGTAGCAGCTGTGGCAGTCGTGACGGTGGAGGCTGTGGTAGCGGTCGTGGTGGTGGTAACGGCTGTGGTGGTAGTGGAGGCGATGGTGGTAGTGGAGGCGGCGGTGTAAGCGGTGGTGGTAGCGGTGGCGGCTGTGGTTGTAGTGGAGGTGGAGGCAGAGGCAGAGGTGGTGTGGTAGTGGTAGCAGCTGTGGCAGTCGTGAAGGTGGAGGCGGTGGTAGCGGTCGTGGTGGTGGTAACGGCTGTGGTGGTAGTGGAGGCGATGGTGGTAGTGGAGGCGGCGGTGTAAGCGGTGGTGGTAGCGGTGGCGGCTGTGGTTGTAGTGGAGATGGAGGCAGAGGTGGTGTGGTAGTGGTAGCAGCTGTGGCAGTCGTGAAGGTGGAGGCGGTGGTAGCGGTCGTGGTGGTGGCGGTAGTGAAGGCGGAGGCGGTGGCGTATCATGAATAATTTAACGGGGCGAGCAGCAGACGGCCGGATGGCTTTACCGCTTGTAAATGCATTATTGATTTTTTTGCCGAGGCAAGCGGATGCAAGGCGAGAGACGCCGGGGTTTGCAACTTGGCCGAAGCCGTGGGCCTGCCCATTATTTATTTGTTTATGACCGGATGAATTAATGAATAAATTAGCGGGTGATTCCTTGGACTAATGGGTAGACGAACGGGCGGGTGAGTCAGCAGGGGCGTGCGTTCGAACCGGACGAAGGCTGCGGTCCTCGAATAATTGAATGAACGGATGAATGGATGGACAAATTAATACATATATACACGGATGAATGAATTCATATATATGGATGGACAGATGGATGGATAAATTAATAGATAGATGGACGAATGGATGAATAAATGAATGGATTGGTGGTTGAATTAATAGATGAATGGATGAACAGATGGTTGGACGTATAGATTAATTGATCGAGTGATGGATGGATCAATGATCACATGGATGGAGGGATGGATGAATGAATGGGTGGATGAATGGGTGGTTGGTTGGTTGAATGAATAGTTGGGTGAGAGAGTGAGCAGCGAGCCAGTGAGCAGGTGAGTGAACGTTTGTGTCGGCATCGATTCCCGCAGGGAGGCGATTGGCAGGGTGTGCGAGGCTGTGCCGGGCTCAAATGGATCTTTCCGACGACGAAAGGTAAACCCGATCTCTCAACCGTGCTGCCACCACCGTCTTCGTGAGATGCGCGCTGTTATTTGTTGATTCCTGTTCCCCCATTTGTCTGCTTCAGTAGATTGTAACACCGTGTTGTGTGAAATATAAGTCCCTCTGGAAAATAACTCACCTGTCCCCCAACTGTTTTGTTTTAAATGCATGGGGGAACAAAGGGAATCTTACAATCTGGAGAATACGGTATTAATAATAATGACGATTTTTTTTATTTTAACAATGTAACTACTTATTCTTGATTCTTTCGGTAAAGTCACACCTGATGATGATTGCTTGTGTTGCAGTCGAAACGTCGTGAGAATTTTTATTGTTTTATTTTTTTATTATTTTATTCTTTCCCTTCTACCTGACTTTACCGAAAGAACCAAGAATATGAATCCCTGCAGTCACGAAAGCTTTAAATAAAAATTTTACGTAACTACTGTTGGCCACATCTCTCAGTGCTGAAGAATTACATGGAAATTACTCAATTGGGATCAGACACCGCAACATCACCCCCGACGGTGAAAACTTGGCAGGACCCGTCCTGAAACAGAGTCACAAGACTCATCGAGGCTCTCCTGGGTTATCGAGCATAAATACAACTCTGATGTTAAAATAAAAGGTCGTATTATTTTAGACGAATGGCTCTCCCTCGTAATTTTTGGATCGTGCCTTTTGCTGAGCGGAAGTGATCCCCACTGCGCGTGTTCTCCGGCACCGGCCAGGGCCCGAGCCAGACGCTGGGCGACGTCCTGGGCAAGAGCAACCTGCAGTTCGCCGGTCTCGACATCATCCTCACCATATCCATCTCCAGCCTCAACCTCATGACGCCCGAGACCAAACAGGTGCGTTCGTGTGCGTTCTTATACTACGCATCTGTGTGTTTGTGTGTGCGTGCGTACGTACGTGTGCATTTGTGTGGCTAGTGAATTGCCCCAACAGTCTGTTCAGGCTGTATGGGGGATCCTTTGTCTGCGTACGTCTGCGTACGTGTGTGTGTGTACGTGGCCTCAAGGTGCACATGGCCTGGCATAAGCGTCGTGGTGACGTCACCGCCACTTAGTGGCGAATGGCGGTTGCTGTTGTGTACGTGTGGGGAGCGGTAGTGTAGCGGTTAGCGCGCTGCGCTACAAACCTGGCGACCCGGGTTCTATTCCCGCTCACGGCCAACATCGGTGACGATTATCTGAACCGTTACTAGGCCTCCCCTAGGTCGACTCAGCCTCAAGTGAGTACCTGGTGCGATGTGTAAACATCGCCACTGGGGAGACAAAGGCGGCCGGGCGTGGTGTTGGCCACCCACCCCCTCGTGTACCGTGCCGGCCTTTATAGGTGCTCGCTAACAGCCTTAACAGACTGTAGGGGCATCTTTGTCTTTGTGCACGTGTCTACTCGCTATCAGCTCTTGCCGCAACAGTCTGATAAGGCTAGACGGGGGATCTTTGTTTTTGTACGTGGGGACGCGGATTTCAAGATTCGTGGAGTTTTGTAATGCGGATTTTTTGAGTTTCACTGCACAGATATTGGGGATGATGGTGATCATCGTGTCTTCTAGAATTAGAATCTTTATTTAGACTGGAGGAATCCAATAAGCTGTCGAGCTCTTTTTCACAGATGTCCTTTTTGCCCGTCCCACAGATCATTGCCAACCACCACATGCAGTCCATATCCTTCGCTTCAGGCGGAGACCAGGTATGGCATTTGTCTGTCGTCTCTCCGTGAACTTATTGTTGTGCATACTCTTTGTTTTTTTCGGTGAAGTCACGTAGGTAAAAAATAAAATAAAATAAATGAAAACAAATAAATTAAATCACGACGTTTCGGGCGCAACACAAGCGTCCGTCATCAGGTGGGAAAGCATGGCCTACTGCTGATGCAGACTGTTTTAAAGGTTTTAATTGATTGTAGCCCAAGGGTTATAAAGGAGTGGCTGGGTCTATTGATGTTAATGTGAGAAATTAGCATGTAACTGTTTTTTACCTACGTGACTTTAACGAAAGCTTCAAATCTAGAATTATTGTTGTGCACTCTCTCAGCCGCCATGTTACCATCACGGTGGCTAAAATGAGCACTACTTTGTGGGGAACTTAAAAGCGGTTCTCCTTTGGATGAACTCGCCCCTGCCATACGAATGTGGAATGTCCACCGCTGGCTCTACGGGGGCTGTAAACAGAAGATGAACACCAATGCCTCGGGGCTCTTTAGAAATGGAAATGACTTTGATTTTTGACTTGTGCAAAATATGTTTTATTGTGAACATACCTGCATTGTTTTAACAAACAAACTCAATGCATTCATCAATAACACTGCCTGAATACACTGCCTATTTGATACTTTTCCAAATATTTGCTTTGAATGTTGTTTGCTATGAAGAAGGTTCATTGCCCAGTACTTTGCCTATTACGAATATATGTATATTTTTTCCTTTCAAGGCCATGTACGCCGAGTTTTAGTGTTAACTCTGCTTGTGCAATGCTGCCAACGTAGCAGCATGGGCAGATATATAATTCCGTCTTGTTTGATATGTTTGTGTTTTTTTGCAACATAGGAAACGACCGATTACGTTGCATATGTGGCCAAAGATCCTGTGAATCAGAGAGGTGAGCCAACGCAGTTAATGTTTCACTCGGCTATTCACTTGCCACGCATCCATTCACTTTTCTTCACCCATTCACCATTCGCTCACTCGTGCATCCGTTACCTGTAAAACGGAGTGTGCAGTACTTATAGCGGTAAACTACACAAATTGCATGTTATTTACAGCTTGTGTTTGTTCTTTCATAACGAATTTTTTGTCCGGAAATAAAATTGCGAAAGTTTTAAATTGGCAAACGAATTTCACGGAATCTCAACATTTGTGAAATGGACGATACGAAATTTCGATTTAAAGCTTTCGTGACTGCAGGGATTCATCTTCTTGGTTGTTTCGGTAAAGTCACGTAGAAGGGAAATAATAAAATGATAAAAATGAAACGCCCTTGCTCCCCTAACCCAGCTTAAATATACGCTGCCAAGCCTGGTGGTGTTCATTCAGACGCTGTCTTTCCAACAGACCTGTTCTTCACCTGAGGACGGCTGCTTGCATTGTAGCCGAAACGTCGTGAGAATTGTATCTTATTATGTTGTATTTTTATTATTTTATTATTTCTTTTTCACGTGACTTTACCGAAAGAACCAAGAGGACAGTACGAAGCTAGGAAGTCAGAATCATATTTCCCGAGTTCATTGAGATAAGAAGTTTTTTTTCAAGGGCGACTCAGCCAGCAGACAACATCCGATAGAGAGACTCGCCCCTAACCTTAGGAATGTGGCATTTACACCAGTGGCTCGGCTGTAAATAGAAGATGAGCGCCAATGTCTCGACTCAAATCAAATTAACGAGTCGTACGTAACATGATAATTGTTTTTTTACCCTTTTATCTGGCAACAAAACTGACACCTTTTTTACAAGGAGTCATGTTTGCATAGACCACAATACCTGCAGTCATAATGCAAACAAAAAACATAACTCTGATAATGTATGCACTGTCCTTGAAGTTGATTGGTCCACACCCGAGACAGCTTTCCTTAGAGCCTAGTCTCACATGGTGTTGGACCAGATGACGCCAAAAGGCGCACAACTCAAAGACAATGCACCAGTAGAGTATGTTTGCATTATGACTGCAGGTATTGTGGTCTATGCAAACATGACTCCTTGTAAAAAAGGTGTCAGTTTTGTTGCCAGATAAAAGGGTAAAAAAAAATTATCATATTTTTTACTGGCAAATGAGGTTCCAATGGTGCATTCGTAACATGTTATCCGTGAAGACCTACTTGCGCCTGTCTGGCATCGGCATGTCGCTGTCGCCCACAACACACGCTCTCTCTCTCTTCTTTTTTTTTACGATCAGTGGAAACAAGAAGATGCTCGGTATATTCGGCACTTTGCTTCGTTCATCATTTCGTAAAAAAAATTGTTTTACATTTTTAAACTTAGCTTTATGTAAAACCCCCACCTCTCGCTCACTCTCTCACTCTCTCGCTCACTCTCTCTCTCTCTCTCCGGGGCAGCGTGCCATGTGCTCGAGTGTCTGGAAGGGCTGGCGCAGGACGTGATTTGTACCATCGGGCAGGCCTTTGAGCAGAGGTTCAAGCAGTACCTCAAGAGTCCAGCACGACCCGCGGCCGTTGCTGCCACCACCAACGCCGCCGCCGCCGCCGCCATCCCACACTCCAGGTAACCCACACCTCAGCCCCTTCCTAACCAGACCTCGGCACCTCCGGTTAGCACGGTACATTGTGAAAGAAGTTCGTTGTACTTCGATGCATACCTCAACCGCGATGTGCAGCCTCCCACGCGCAGCCACTCCCACGCGCAGCCAAGCCTGCCTGCAACCTTGGTTTTGGATTCTGGTTGTTGTTTTTTGTTTTGATGTCTTGTCCAAAACAAAGATTTTTTGGCATCTTCTAAGTAGACTAGGCCTCAAATAAGTACCTGGTGCGATGTGTAAAGATCGCCACTGGGGAGACAAAGGCAGCCGGGCGTGGTGCTGGCCACCCACCCCTTCGTGTGCTGTGTCGGCCTTCATAGACACTACACGCTATAACAGCACTTGCCCCAACAGTCTGCTAAGGCTACACGGGGGGGGGATCTTTGCCTTTTGTTGCCTCTCGTCAGGCCGGAGGGCGGCGATGGTGCGACGGAGAGAGAGGAGGACGAGGAGGAGGTGTCCAGAGCCACGGGGCGTGACCACGAGTACTACAATGACCTCCCCGCCAAGGAGCCCCCCCCTGGGGGGCTGGTGGACGCACGCACGCTGGAGGGGGCCGGAGGGGGCGGGGCAGGAGCGGGGGGCACTGCGTGGGCCGGGGCGCGACCACAGCGGCCTCCGCAATCGTCCATGGTCAGCGGCTGTGCGGTGTGTGTGTGTGCGGTGTGCATGTGGTGTATGCGGTGTGCGTGTGCGGTGTGTGGTGTGTGTGTAGCGGTAGTACACCTGTTAACGCTCCTCTGTTAACGCGACCGAGTTGGATTCCTGCTCACGACCAAAACCAGTAACGATTATCTGAACCGGTCCTGGGCCTCCCCTAGGTCGACTCAGCCTAAAATGAGTAAATGGTGCAGTGTGCAAATATTTCCACTAGGGAGACCAAGGCGGCTGGGCGTGGTGTGTGTGTGTGTACGCATTGTGAGCCTAAGAATATTTTAATCGATTAATCATTTTGCGCTGTGGCGGATTGCGCTGATCCTTCGCTGTGTTTGTGTGTGTTTGTGTGTGTTTGTGTGCGCGTGTGTGTGTTTGTGTGTGCGCGCATGTGTGTGTTTGTGTGCACGTTTGTGTGCACGTGTGTGTGTTTGTGTGTGTTTGTGTGCGCGTGTGTTTGTGTGCGCATGTGTGTGTTTGTGTGTGTTTGTGTGCCCATGTGTGTGTTTGTGTGCGCGCCCGTGTGTGTGTGTTTGTGTGCGCATGTGTGTGTTTGTGTGCGCGTGTGTGTGTTTGTGTGTGTTTGTGTGTGTGTTTGTGTGCGTTTGTGTGTGTTTGTGTGTTTGTGTGCGCGTGTGTGTGTTTGTGTGTGTTTGTGTGCGTGTGTTTGTGTGCGCGCGTGCGTGTGTTTGTGCTTGCAGGCAACAAGAGGCGAGAACGGGACGGCGGCGGGGAAGTCTGTGTACGACAGCAACGCGAGCTACCAGAGGCAGTCATCGAGTGCAGCCGGTAGTGCACACAGCGAGCACTCTGCATAAGGCTCATGGCCATCGTGTTGTCATCACTACGCTTGCTTGCCCAGCAAAGCCTCACCCGAGTCTCAAGACTCCTTTGTAGGAGGGTCTTGCCAAGCCTTCGCAGTTGGGAGGGGGAGGAGGGCGGAGGGGGGGTGACGATTGCGATGCGTTTTTTGCGGTGTAATTTTTCAGATTTGGCACAATTTGACCGTGAACGCCACGGGCACGCAATATTGCCTGCCTCCTCTTTGAGTGACATCGCGGCATCTATAGCGGCTACTGTGAGGAAGAGGAGCACGTGGATTAGGGAACGCACGCGTTAGAGACATCGTCGCTACGGTGGCGAGAGGTTAAATACCTCGCCTGGTATACAGGAGTGTGTGGGTTCGATCCTGACCCTGACGATGTTTGTATATTTGGAGTTTTCATGTTGTCGTCGTGGTCGCGTGGATTTTTCTCCGTGTCCTCCGGTTTTTCCCTCCACGTTTAGAATCAACGTCACATCAGATTATTTGGCTGCCATAGATTTCCAGGTGACGATAAGCCACTTTGTTGAGCTATCATTTGTGGCCAGGTCGCTTCTGACAAAGAGCTGTATAACTCGGTTGGCTTTGCCTGGTAAAACAAAAGCAGTTTAGTTTTTTAAGTCTCTGATTGTTAAGTGGTGACGTAAATGGGCTTGGGGAGGGCACGCGTCACGGCTCAAACAGATGGCGACCGAGACCAACGAAAATAACCGTGTAACCAGTCGTGACCTCGCAGGAGCAACCGATTGGATGTGAACTCGATGTTAACCCTTACAATGCATACTCTCTGGTTCCCATATTCTGATTATTAAGTAATTTAAAACAACGATGTTGAACGTTTCCGAATGTTTACAATACGAAAATAAAGAGCGCGTGTTGTTAAATGCAAACTTCAGGGCGTACGATTTTAACTTCGTTTCAAACAAAATTGCTGGCAACCCGGACGTTCTATAGACGTGACCGTCCGTCTGTTTCTCCAACCAGCCAGTCAGCAAAACTTTATTTTTTTTATGTAGCACCATTGTAAAAAGATAACCAGATATTTAGTTGGATTTGATCTTGATTTAAAGCTTTCGTGACTGCAAGAATCCATACTCTCTGGTTCTTTCGGTAAAGTCACGTAGGTATAAAATAAAATAAATCACGACGTTTCGGGCGCAACACAAGCGTCTGTCATCAGGTGGAAAAGCGCATGGTCTGCTGCTGAGGCAGACTATTGTAAAAGGTTTGAAATGGGTGTAGCCCAAGGGTCATAAAGAAGTGGCCAGGGCTGGTGATGTTAATGTGAGAAATTAGCATGTAACTGGGTACGGAAGTGGCTATGTTAATGTGAGAGATTAGCATGATGTTAATGTGAGGGATTAGCGTGATGTTAATGGGAGGGATTAGCATAATGTTAATGTGAGAGATTAGCATGATGTTAATGTGAGAGATTAGCATGATGTTAATGTGAGATATTAGCATGATGTTAATGTGAGAGATTAGCATGATGTTAATGTGAGAGATTAGCATGATGTTAATGTGAGAGATTAGCATGATGTTAATGTGAGGGATTAGCATGATGTGAATGTGAGAGATGAGCATGATGTTAATGTGAGAGATTAGCATGATGTTAATGTGAGAGATTATCATGATGTGAATGTGAGAGATGAGCATGATGTTAATGTGAGGGATTAGCATGATGTGAATGTGAGAGATTAGCATGATGTTAATGTGAGAGATGAGCATGATGTTAATGTGAGAGATTAGCATGATGTTAATGTGAGGGATTAGCATGATGTGAATGTGAGGGATTAGCACGATGTTAATGTGAGGGATTAGCATGATGTTAATGTGATGGATTGGCATGTTGTTAATGTGAGAGATTAGCATGTTGTTAATGTGAGGGATTAGCATGATGTGAATGTGAGAGATTAGCATGATGTTAATGTAAGCAATTAGCATGATGTTAATGTGAGGGATTAGCATGATGTTAATGTGATGGATTGGCATGTTGTTAATGTGAGAGATTAGCATGTTGTTAATGTGAGGGATTAGCATGATGTGAATGTGAGAGATTAGCATGATGTTAATGTAAGCAATTAGCATGATGTTCATGTGAGGGATTAGCATGACGTTAATGTGAGGGATTAGCATGTGACTGTACGCTAGGAGAGCGGCCTAGACGAGGGAGTGCAACCCAATGGGTGCAATCCAAAGGACCTGTGAGCATGGGACCGCAATCCAAAGGCATGAGAGAGTGCAATGCAAAGGACATGTGAGCATGAGAGATCTAAGAGAGAGGCATAGAGAGAGAGAGAGACACAGAGAGTCGGAAATAACAGCTGACATAGGCAGGTAGGAGGGGGAAGACTTTACCTGCTTAATAACGTCCTTCCTTACAATGCATTTTTGTTTTCTTGTTTCCTTCAGACGGCAGTGGAGGAATGCGGCCTGGGGCCCGCGTGGAGGCCACAGAGGACCCGAGCTACGTCAACACGAGCGACATGGACGGAGGTAATGGGGATTCGTTGTTGAACGCGGCCGATAAGTTCCTGATGAGTGCCACTTTAAGCGAAGTACCCCTTGACGAATGCACATTACGGGGCGTAAAGAAATACAAACAACGCTACTTTTGAATCGCATTTGCACTAGAACATCAGCCTGCAGTCATCCCGTGGCGGAACAGAGAATTGAGATGAGAGAAAGTCGCCCCGTGCTGTATCCTTCTGCGTACCGTATCATTCCGCTCAAGCCGAGCAGCCCAAGAAAGTTAGTTAGTCGTCGACCACTCAGAAACCGCGTTATGATGGGGGGCGCGAGTTCCTCGTTATAACGGGGGGCGCGTTCCGCAATTTAAGAAAAGTATTCCGTCTTGGAAGAACCGCGTCGTAGCGAGAACGCATTAATAGTGCGTACGCCGCGCGTCAAGCGAGGACTTGTCGTACGATAATTGTTGTTTTACCCTTCTATCTGGCAACAAAACTGACACCTTTTATTACAAGGAGTCATGTTTGCATAGACCACAATACCTGCAGTCATAATGCAAACAAAAAACATAACTGATAATGTATGCACTGTCCTTGAAGTTGATTGGTCCACACCCGAGACAGCTTTCCTTAGAGCCTAGTCTCACATGGTGTTGGACCAGATGACGCCAAAAGACTTGTAAAAAAAAAGGCGTCGGTTTTGTTGCCGGATACAAGGGTAAAAAACCAATTATCATATTTTTTACTGGCAAATGAGGTTCCAATGGAGTGAATGACTTGCCGTACGTTCAACCCCTATGTACAAACAACAATGGCGGCGAAGAAGCGCTTCGTAACGCGCATGACGTCGTCGTCGTCGCACCCCCCACCATCGTCTCACTCCGCCCTGTCCACCCCTACCCCCGGCCCAGGGGGGCTGTCCTCGGAGCGGCTGCGGGGAGAGCCATGGTTCCACGGCCGCGTGAGCCGCGGCGATGCCGAGAAGCTGCTGAGCCGCGATGGCGACTTCCTGGTGCGGGAGAGCGGTTCCACTCCGGGCCAGTACGTCCTGACCGGCATGCAGGGCGGTCGGCCCAAGCACCTGCTGCTCGTCGACCCCGAGGGCGTGGTGAGCGGTGCGGCGTGGCGCGTGTGCAGTCTGTGGCAAGGTCACGTGCACGTGTGCACAGTCGCTTCTCCCATGATGCGGTAGTTGCGTTCCTGAAGAACGCCGCGTTATTATAAGTAACGTGTAATGTTGGGTAAAGCACAGTCCGCGATATGAGATGCATATGCAGGCCGGACAAAGACTGTGAGGGCACGTGGGCAGCATTTAGAAGCACCCAGCAGCATCGCGTTATGTCCAAATCGCATCCGCGTTGTGAAAAATGTGTTCCCTAATACGTTCATCGCGTTATGTCCAATTCGCGTGATGAAAACACGTGGCGTCATAGAAGAGCAGCAACTATATGTTGAACTTCTTTAGCACCGTACGAAGCACAATCGTTGTCTCTGTGACACTGTGGGACGATTGTACCGGAGCCGGTGTCTTCCGTCCGTGCCGCACGGTGTGGCAAAGTGCTACGCATTGTGTCGCAGAGACGCAATGGTGTGCCGCAAACACGCACCGTGCCTTGCGCCACGCGGTGTCATGTCACCGTTTGGGCGATCGTGCCAGAGCCGCGCACACTGCCGCCGCTACGCATTGTGCCGTGGCTCGTGTGTGCCACAAGCTTGCGTTGCGCTACGGACGGCCGCACTCTGCGACACGGCGATGCAGCGTGCCAAGGCTACACGCCGTGCTGTGTGCTACACATTCCGCCACGGCCGCCCTGTACTTTTCCACGGCTGTGCGTTCTGCCCGTGGTAACTTTACACCATGCCACAACCGCTGCACTTTGTCATAGCTACAGACTGAGTGGTGACCGGTACGGTGTTCAGCGGTGGCATAGTGTGCAGTCGCCACACACACTAACCCTAACTCCTACCTTAAACTACTAAAACCCCTAGTACCTAACTCACCGCGAACGCTAAACCTGACCCTGGACGTAAACCCTAACTCTAACCCAAATGCTAATCCAATCACAAACCACAACCTTAACTCAAAGCAAAAACGCAAGCATAACCCAAACCTTAACCCACTCTAACATCAAACCAAAAGTCTAACCCTAACCCCAAGCTACTAACTAAGTCAACCAAAACTCCAACCTTAACCCACTCTAACATCAAACCAAAACTCTAACCCTAACCCCAAGCTACTAACAACTAAGTCAACCAAAACTCCAACCTTAACCCACTCTAACATCAAACCAAAACTCTAAGCCTAACCCCAAGCTACTAACAACTAAGTCAACCAAAACTCCAACCTTAACCCACTCTAACATCAAACCAAAACTCTAAGCCTAACCCCAAGCTACTAACAACTAAGTCAACCAAAACTCCAACCTTAACCCACTCTAACATCAAACCAAAACTCAAACCCTAACCCCAAGCTACTAACAACTAAGTCAACCAAAACCCAACCTTAACCCACTCTAACATCAAACCAAAACTCTAACCTTAACCCCAAGCTACTAACTAAGTCAACCAAACCCCAACCTGAACCCGCTCTAACCTCTAACCCCTTCTCCCGCTATCCGCAGGTGCGCACCAAGGACCGCAAGTTCGACAGCGTCAATCATCTCATCAGCTTCCACCGCGACAACCAGCTGCCCATCATCTCGGCCGGCTCGGAGCTCTGCCTCAAGCAGCCAGTGCATCGCAAGCTCTGAGTCAGCGACGATGGTGGCGACGAAGATGATGATGACGATAATGACGACAGCGAAAGCGGTGATGGGAGGAGGAGCAGGAGGCGAATCCGGGTCATGGGTCATGGAGGATGGGAGGGAGTGGTGGTGGGGGGGGGGGGCGGGGGAACAAAATCTCGTGGATGCTCGCCGATCGCTTGCACTCGTTTCGGGCTGCGCGCAGTGACGATTGGGGTGTCACGTGTCCTCGAAATAGCGGCGGGCGGGTGTGTGCGCCGCCGCCACCTCCTTTACGAAAACCCACGTTACGCTCACAAAGGCCAAATTTAGGCAGTTTACAGCGTGCGATGTTATTTGCGTGGCCTTTTTGCTATTATAAAAGTAAGAATACTGTTAGCTTTATGAATGAAATTAAAAACAAACAAACCCACCATTGACAACCACCACTTCTGGAACACAGAATTCAACACGATGGCAGATATTGCGCAGGACAGTCACGGAAGTGGGCACAGCTCTGGCGCGTGACGTTTCAGCGCCGCGTGGGGACACGGCTAGATGACAAGACTGACTTGGTCGCACTACCGAGCTCTTTGGGAGTACAAAATTCGAATTAATAAAAAAAACTTTTTCCCATTTTTAGAGTTCCTTCCCGATCAACGCTGTTATATGCGAGACACCACGGTTTATCCACCAGAGTTATTTCGAGGACACAGCAATGCGGGAGGGGGGTGTGATGTCTCTTGTTGGTTTGGGATCTCGAGTGAGTTGGAGAGTGAGCATGTGAGCCAGCGAGTTTCGGCTTGCCCTTTAATCATCGGAAGATAGTGGTGGTGGGGTGGCGGTGGGTGGGGTGTGGTGAGAGCGTCGTTGTGGGCAGCGGCACGGCGTGTCGATTTGCCGATTTGAAATCGATTCGTTTATACGATCACGGCGCAATGCGTGCGCGCCACTCGGCTGTTTCCGACGCGTGTTGCAGGTTTCAAACGTGTGCACCGTTGTGGTTCGGCGGCTGCCGGGCAGAGGTCGCAAACGGGTTTTGATTCCTTACCCGTACCCGGCCGCACCAGGGTCGCAAATGGGTAACCGTACCCGGCCGGGTACGGGTACCTGTTCCCTACCCGTACCCTACCCGAAATGAGTCACAAACGGTGACTCACCAGTGACTCACGGCCTACCCGTACCCGGCCGCACCAGGGTCGCAAACGGGTACCCGTACCCAGCTGGGTACGGGTAGCCGGGTATCGGGTAGGGTACGGGTATCGGGTACCCGGTTGCGACCTCTGCTGCCGGGGGACACGTTCGCTGCGGTGGGCAAAAAGGAAAAGAGGAGTTCTGGCTCGGACGGGGTCGTAAATAATTGGGCAGTCCCACAAATTCGGCAGCCTCGTGGTCCAAATGACTAAATCGTCCTCGGGGTAATTGTGCCTGTAGAAAACATGACCCGTGGAATAAGTCGACGGTTTGACAACTACCATGGTGAACGAAAAAGTCAATTTGTGCAAGTACGTCGGACGCCGCGTAAATTCATGAACGTCTTTACCTTTAGCAAGAAAGGTGGATAAATGATTTCTATATGGATTACAGCCCTAATTGGTTCACGTCCTTTTTCCAAATAGAAAGCCGCCCCGTGATTATGTGAACGATTGGCCACAAATCTGAAAGTTGCGTCTAAAAATTGTGGAGCTGCCCAAAAGATTCTTGCGCGAATAGCCCATCGCACGCATCGTGCTTACAATCGATTTCAGTCGATGAATCATTACATTTCTACTGTCTTTTTTGTTTCGCTTGAGTTGAATTAAAATTATTTCTTGTGGGTTTTCAAAGAAAATGATAATTTCAGTATATATTGTTTTTTCGCTTAAAAGAACTTGGCGCATTCGCTAAAGCATGACCTCTGATGTCAAGTTACGTTTGGTACCGTTTTGTTATGATGCACATAGCTTCTGAGTAGACCACACATGTATACACACGAGTACACACGGGTGCACACACACACGAACACACGCTTATGCCTTTTTTTCCAGGGGTAGGGGAACACATGGCCCATGGGTCGGATGGGTCCCGATACTTAATTTCAAACGGCCAGGGCAACACGAGGCCTCCCGCTTGGAAATGACCCAGCGGGTGTAGGGAGGAGGGTCTTCAAAAATATGGACTTGCCTGGTGGAGCAGGTGGCAGCACTAACTAGAACGGAGGGTAAAAGTCATTTAGAAATCGGGAAACGGATGGGGCGTGACGACGATCGCCAACAGCAGAGGAGCGCTGCTGCTCCTGCTGCTGCTGCTCCTGCTGCTGCTGCTCCTGCTGCTGCTGCTCCTGCTGCTGCTGCTCCTGCTGCTGCTGCTCCTGCTGCTGCTGCTCCTGCTGCTCCTGCTGCTGCTGCCAGGCGTTCGCGATGCCAGCGGTGTCGGTAAAGCGGGCGGACAGGAAGAGAGGAGGAGTAGAAGAGCATGCGTCCTAGAGGTGCACTAATTGGATGCTAGAGGGGAGAATGTTTCGATGACCTTGGCAACAATTGATTCTCAGGATGTCTTGCAGAAACCGGATGGAGATGATCGCCGTAGGCACGCGCGCGTGTTAAAGTGCGGCCCGGCCACGTACCCAGAACACACGAACCGCGAGCGGACGATGCCCGCTCGCCCATCTGCTCCGGTGTCGTCTGCTCGAGGAGCCGAGCATAGATGACGGTGGTTTTCATTACCGATGCTGTGCGCGCGCTTGGTCCTTTGCCCACCGCGAATGGTCATTGTTGATTTAGGTCGGTTTTTGTGGACATGAAATAGAACGAATGTGCGTCCTGTGCTCAAGGTATTTCAAATCCCCCATTCCCCGCTCGATCCAAATGCAGCGTATTGCCTTGAGTTTATTCAACAAGGGGGGAGAGAGAGCGAGCGTGTGGTAGCTTTTTTCAACAACAACAAAAATCCCGTGAATGTTCAGAAAAATATTCGATTAATTCTCTGCCTTATCTACCCTTCAGTGATGTCGACGTTACAAATAATTCGAGCATTTAATGTAATTATCGCAAGCGCATTCAATGCCCCTCCCCCAACCACCTGTTTGCAGATTATGGTTATCACGTGACGTATAGCCGCAGTGGTGTCGTAGCTGAGGTTGGCTTGGGGCCCCTGTTGCAACGAATGAAATGCCCTCTATCCAATCTCCACCTCCCACACTTTCAAAGTGCCCGTGAGCCCTAGTGCAGCAGTTGCACCGCCCGCACACTTGATAGCCACGCCACGGGCCCATTCACGTTGGCCGATGGTTCCCTATGCTAACGCTCTCGATATATATCGGTTCAATATGAGTATGTGATCCTAGTGGCATAGGCCCTGGGGCAAATTAATTAAATCGCCCGATCCATTGTTAAACATCCTTTGCCCGAGGAGGCCAAGTAGAGGTTATTTGTTTCACGAGGTGAGAACTCTTGTGCCGTGTCGGAGTTGCACACGTACGGCGACGTGTCCATCGGCGTTACAGCGGAATGCAGTTCAAAATAACTCGCAAGCAAAACACCTTGTTGTGAAAGACTCAACGCAAACAAAATATCCCTGGGTTTGATCTTCCACGAGGCTCACGGTCCCACCCGAAGCCGCATCAACTGCGAAAACCATGGCAGATGCGGATACCCGACGCACAAATGGGAAATTAATAAGTATAACCCGTAAAAACAAAGTTTTTCACTCTAAATCCTTTATATGCGTGGCGGCTAGAGTCCTCTCGTCCTCTGGCTTGAGATGGCTGCCACCTATGGGTCAGATGATTGCAGTATTAAACAATTGGTAATTAAATGTTTAATTTGTTTTCCCTAAACAGTGTAAAATTTTTGAATATTTTTTTTCACGAACATTAATTGTCTCGCACAACGAGTCTGTGTGCAAAATGTCAGCTCGATTGGATCACGGGAAGTGGGTTAAAAAACGACCGAAAGGTTTGCACGGTCGTAAGCAAGCAAGCAAGTGAACTTAATATAAAGGATTTAAAAACTCTCCAGTGCGCGACTGTGCTCATCCCGAACAGACCATACAAGATACGACGACGCAATGCCCGATGCACAAATACGAAAGGGAGACATCGCAGCGATGCACTCCGCTACGCCTGACGCCCTTTGTCCGTGTTGACCACCTGAGTGTTGTTGTTGTTGCTGCTCTGCAACTACATCAGCGGCCGTGCGACAAGAAATAAAAGCGTGGCTGGCGTGGGCCCCAGTGCGAGGAATTCGCCCCCAATCCTTCCCAGCATCGCAGTTAAGAGCACGTGGTCGGTCCCCCACGTCCCGTGGGTCTCGGTGCTACGCCGCCGCTCGTGTTTGGATTTGACCCCGAAGCTGACCCCAGAGCTGCCCGGCACGACCTCGCCGACCGACGATAATTTTTAAATCCTTTATATTAAGTTCACTTGCTTGCGCGCTTGCTTACGACCGTGCAAATCTTTCGGTCGTTTTTTAACCCACTTCCCGTGATCCAATCGAGCTGACATTTTGCACACAGACTCGTTGTGCGTGGCAATTAATGTTCGTGAAAAAAAATTCCCAAAATGTTACACTTTTTAGGAAACAATAAATATATTTAATTACCAATTGCTTAATGGTGGCAGGCAATCATCTGACCCATAGGTGGCAGCCATCTCAAGCCAGAGGACGAGAGGACTGTAGCCGCCACGCATATAAAGTATTTATAGTGAAAAACTTTGTTTTTACGGGTTCATTTTTTGTTCCTCCCCTCGGTTCAATAACGAGTTGCCATTGATAAAATCAACCCTCCCTCCTCCCCCCACCCGGCTTGCACCGGATCTCGGAAGCTAAGCGGGGTTGAGCCTGGACATTGCTTGGATGAGGGTCCAAACGTACACACCAAGTTGTCACGGGAGGCTGTGGGGCTTTGCTCGGACGGTCGCAACTAAATCGCATGTACTATATACTTAGGTGCGTGCCTCTCTGCCTACAACACGCGCTGTGATCAGCGTGGAGAAGCGAGGCGAGGCAAATAACCACGGCCCCGCACGGCGTAGGGAGGCGCTCATCCAGCAGTGGATTGAAAAACTGTCCGGTCAAGCGTGGGTTGGTGAAGACGGGGGAGCATATAAGTACAGTACAACACATGTTTGCCTGTGCAAAGATGTTACAGCAACTGCCATTACGCCCGCTTGTGTGTAAAATGCCCAATCAGTTAACATATTTCATTGTAATGTCACACGCCTCAATTATTATTTGTATGTCATTGTTTTTTTTTATGTTCCTGACTGGAATAACTGGAATGTGAGTGGATCCAGGGATTGTTTTATTTTAGAAGAAGCCTATAAAAGTTGTAAAATCATTCTAAGGATATCTCTTGCCTTGGGCCTCCCAACACGCACCTGGGTCATCTCCATTATTCAAATTTGAGCACGTCTCTTTATTAAATCCCTGGGTTGCGTTTTGTTGCAAATGAGTGGATTGCACGTGTCCCCTCGAGCTCCCGTGTAATTCCAAGCAAGCGCCTTCCTTCTCATCAAAGAGGCATGGAGAGAGAGAGAGAGAGCCCCTGCTTGGAATTACACAGAGATACACGAAGACGAGCACACGTGGGATTAGAGAGCAGACGCAATTTTGCAACATTTACGAATTAAGAAGAATTCAGTGGGTTCGGGCAGTAACGCGGGCTCGCTGGAAGTGGGGGGAGTTGGGTAGGGGGGGGGTGGAGATGATGGACACCGGTGGTCGAGACTAACGACGGAACCACAGCCAAAGGAGTGAGCTCGCTCACCTGGGAGGGAGGGAGGACGTTTACTTTGGCAATGGAAGTAATGAAATCGAATCGTGTTGTCGGAGCGGGGTGGATGCGTTTGAAATTGCAAAAACCCGTGGGAAATGTCGACCGTTTGAGGAAGCCATTATTCAGCAGTGATGGTCGGTGATGCCGATGGTGTTTGGCACGATATGACATTGCACTTGTATGTGTGTGTGTGTTACCTGCCCTTGGGTCTTTACTCGCTAACATACCACCAGCTCTTGTCACCAACAGCAATGACTCAACCGGGGGCGGACCTTTCGAAAATTAGTTTTAATGTAGAATTAATTTTGAGTTGCTGTTGGGAGTCAAATGTTTTTTTTTAGCGGCCGTTAAGACGCTACGCGCGCGCCCTTTGATTTTGTCGCCAATGATGAAGAGGAATTAACAGACTTCGAATTATGTACGTCCGTCCGGTGTTGTGGGCGGCACGCTGATAACTTTTTTTTTTAAAGATTGCTCAAGTGCATGAGTAAAAGGAAATTTTATACTAGTGATACGAGACTATTGCTCGATTATATTTTATAAATGAGAATATGTTCAAAATAAATCGTGCTTTGGTTATTTAATAAAAAAAATGCATTTCCTCTCAATGTATGCTGCACCGGTCTCAGTCTGCAGCGTGTTGTTGAGTCGTGGCGGTCCACACATCCCTCTGCCTGCCAGTGAAATCGCACCGGCCCCTTCACCCTTCGTCCTTTCGGATGGTGGGGCCCACAGGACGGCGTCACGGAGCGGGCCCGACCGGGCTACGTGGAGGTGGGGGGTCACCGGGGGTCACCCGGGGTCACCCAGGGTCACCCGGCCACCAGGCGCTTGGTGGCGAACACCAAGCCCCAGGCCTGGCTCCAGGGGGTGGGGGGGGGGTGTCCCACTATACCTTGTTCGGTCGAGGTTCTATGATTTTTTTCTTTTTTAACCATCCGTGAGTGGCTTTTTCTTGGACCGTTATTTGTCTGGAAGCTCCCCCCCCCCCAGACCTGTTCGCCAATGGAGACCCGACCAGAAGTGCAAGACTCCAAGCGACATCGCTCTGAGGGTCATTGGAACACACAAACCCCAGCAGAGGTCTAAGATCGTTTGAGACGAGGCTCAAAAGAAAGCCGTCTCTGGTGTGGACCAATCAGTTTCAAAGACAATGCATATTTATCAGTGTTTTTTGTTTGCAAGTATTGTGGTTAATGCACACATGATTCCTTTAAAAAGGTTTCAGTTTGGTGTTTTAACAACTTAACACAGCTGTTTTGTTGCCAGAAAAAAGGGGAAAAAACCTATTCTCATATTTTGGTCCTGGCAAAGGAGGTCCAATTAAACTGATATTTGTCTTCTTGGTTCTTTCGGTAAAGTCACGTCGAATTAAACTGGTATTTGTCTTCTTGGTTCTTTCGGTAAAGTCACGTCGAATTAAACTGATATTTGTCTTCTTGGTTCTTTCGGTAAAGTCACGTAGAATTAAACTGATATTTGTCTTCTTGGTTCTTTCGGTAAAGTCACGTAGAATTAAACTGATATTTGTCTTCTTGGTTCTTTCGGTAAAGTCACGTAGAATTAAATTGATATTTGTGTTTAGTTTGTCATTCCCCCGCGCCTGCGATTAGCACGATTGACTACGTACGATGCGAAATAAGTTCTACCCCATAGATCAGCGGTCGGGAACCTATGGCTCGCGAGCCATATATGGCTCTTCCAGTGACGGCATATGGCTCCCAGACAATTTTGAGTTGAAAAAATAAATAAAAATCAGTTTGGAATGGATTTTAAAATACTTGTGATATTGCTGAATAATACTGTGTCATTTTAAAGTAAACAGAAATTAGTTTTGAAGATAAATTTCACGGGTCACGGGGCCTCAACGCCTGCACGAAGCTCAACCTCACCACGTATGTACGAGACAACAAGGCCATCAGCAAAACCATGCAGCACCAGAAGTCGCATTAAAAGTAAGACATATTTAATGTATTATTCAGATTCCAAAGAACACAGGATGAGATGTTACTATCCTTTGTGCAAGCACTTCCAAGAGTTCATGAACAGTGAGCCTGGTGAAATTTGGGGAGCGCATCGTCAGTAGTGACCCTTTGGTTCCTAGGGTGTTTCGGCCTTTCACACTATACACCCTCCCCAAAGGCGGCCAGCGACAGGGTGATCAATCCTACGCTTGCGTCCCATTCCCAATTAGTCATAGGAGTTGCCTTGTTGTTGGTAGCCAACATCCCATGGGACTACAGTATATGTTAAAAATACTATATGGCTCTCAATGAAATATATTTAGAAATATTTGGCTTTTATGGCTCTCTCAGTCAAAAGGTTTTCGACCCCTGCCATAGATGCATTACGCTTGGTAGCAAAGTGATCGCGCAAGTGCTGCCCTCTACTGTGCGTGGAGCAGAGGTCACGGGGGTGGTTCTCAGAGGTAGCTCTGTCTCATCTGCTTCTGTGGGCCATTCTGTGTAGCCTACGACGGGTCCGCACTGCTCTGGATAATTTGGGCGGAAATATTGTAACGTTTTAACTTAATTGTTGATAATTTTCACGGCGAAACACCATTATTAGTATTCAATATTAGTAATCGCTGGCTACCTTCATCAACCCACACTGACCGGCATGGTTGTGGTATTTCAGAAGATCATTACATTATTGTTATTTGGGCCTTTTGGTAAAGTCACGTAGATAGAAAAATAATATATATTTTAAATTTTATTATTTTTCTATCTTTTTTCTTGTTTATAATTTTATTATTTTTCTATCTACATGCCTTAACCGAAATACCTAAAGAATATGAATTCATGTAGTCACGAAAGCTTTAAGTCAAGATTCATTACAGTATTGTTATCCTTAAGCCAGGAAAGCCTCACTGAGACTCGTGACTGTTTCAGGAGGGTCCTGCCAAGTTTTCATCGTCGGCGGCGATTGCTGCTGCAGTGTGTTGTACAGTAATCCTATGGCACCTTTTTGCCAGTATCCAAAATGATGCCTAATAAGAATTGTCTTTTTCCTCTTTTTTTGGCAAAAAAACAGGTGTTAAGATGTGGAAACACCAGATAAATGCATTTGCCAAAGCGTCAAATCTGCATTAACCACACGTACATGTGGCAAAAACTTGCAAACAAACATGCTCTGGTAATATAAAAAAAAATCCAAAAAAATCACGACGTTTCGATCGCAACAGAAGCAATTAGTCATCAGGTAAAAAAAAAATATCCAACTATTTTTCTAATTTTTCTCTATCTACGTGGCTTTACCGAAAACACCCAAAGAATATGACTCCATGCGGCCACGAAAGCTCCAAGTCAAGCTAATGCCCCACGTTGTTTCGCGTTGGTGACAAGCCTGGAACCCGGAACCAAAACCTCCGTGCCGCGCGTTTCCCCCGGACGACTTCGCCGCGGCGAGTGGCCGTGGTTGCACTCACGTTGTTATCATAGTAAATGTCGAAATCAGCCCGTCTGACGATCACAAATTCTTATCGTCGTCCAAATTAAAGACGAAGACGCCCTGCGTTTGGAACTCAACGTCACGCGCGCCCCTTTGCCGGTAAAGTGAGCTCTACGCATCCGTTTCTCGCTGCTTAAATTCCGCTGTGAGGGTGGATTTTGTGCTGTGTGTGTGTGCTGATGGGGAGCGGTGGTGCAGCGGTTAGCGCGTTGCAATACAAACCCCGGCGAGCCGAGTTCGATTCCCGCTCACGGCCAACATCTGAACCGGTCCTGGGCATCCCCTAGGTCGACTCAGCCTCAAATGAGTAGCTGGTGGGGTGTGTAAACATCGCCACTGGGGAGACAAAGGCGGCCGGGCTAAGTGATGTTGGCCACCCACCACCCCCTCGTGTGCCGTGCCGGCCTTCATAGGTGCTCGCTAACAGCACTTGCCCCTCGCTAACAGCACTTGCCCCTACAGTATGTTAAGGCTACACGGGGGATCTTTGTCTTTGCTGTGAGGGCCTCTTCTCGATTGTAACGCTTCGCCTGAAGCCTGCGCTCGAGTCTGCCGATGTGGCTCCCGCAGCAAGTGACGCGAGCACTCGAACCGTCGGCTCAGGCCGTGTGTGAGTGTGGCAGTCACCACGCCGCCGTCACACCGTGAGGGACCACTCGACAATACTTCACCACTTCACCAGTCCACCACTCCACCATACTCCACCACTCGACCATACTTCACCACTCCATCATACTCCTCCACTTCACCACTCCACTATACTCCACCACTCGACCATACTCTACCATACTCCACCACTTCACCACTCCACCATACTCCACCACTTCACCATATTCCACCACTCGACCATACTCCACCATACTCCACCACTTCACCACTCCACCACTCCACCATACTTAAAGCTAAATACCTTTAACTATAACCACACTTACCAACCACACTACCTATTCCTCACCTTAACCACACGAGCCAACCAAAGGTCAACACCTAAGCTCAGCTGTTACCCCCTCTCCCCCTCCCCCCGTGCTCATAATCCAGTCATCCTGTTTATGATTATTTAAACGCTTTTATTTAACTCACTCTGTCTGTTATACCCTGAACTATGTCTGTTGTCGTATCCTCAAATCTTGTAACTCAATTTTAACCCACTTCCCAATGTCGTACCATCCGCAAACTTTGTATACGTATGTCATACTGATGACAATACTATATTCTATCAAAAAATATATTTTAAAAATGATTTTTTATATGTTATGTTTCGGTTCGGGTCTAATTGTCCACGGTAAACTGATGTTGGCTGTAATTGGCCACGGCCCCTTACGTTGTGGCAAGCTTCGAGGTCACTTCCTGGAGTCGTGGAGTTCTTCCATTACTAGTACGGGACATTTCATTAAAGGGTGCTTAAAAAAAAAGTTTTTTTAATTTTACTTTTTCACTTTTCTCTCCACCCTCCGCTCTGGTCCGCACAGCAGCGAGCGGCGGTCGCGATGTACCACAACAGCACGCAGAAGACGCACTGGACGTTTGGCAAGGAGGAGGAGATTGCAGCGTTAAGGCGGGAAGCCAACGAAAGGTTCAAGACCAAGCTCAGGAAGAATGCTAAGGTGTGGGACCTGAGTTCCGTGCATCGATGATCGAATTGAATGATATCTGTTCAGAGGTAGGAGAAACTAAAAACTGTTCAGCTACAGGAGCCCCTCGCTTAGCGTTTTTAATCTGTTCCACTAAAACTACGGTTAACCGAAATAGCTGTTAATGGAATATACGAATTACGTGAGTCTGCAAGATAATTTTTTCACTGCCAAAACAGAAAACATAATGTAAACAAAGCCAGTCGAGGTCTCATAAATGGGCATCGCTAATCGGCTGAGGCATGCTCAGCCCACTTACCAGCGCTGGGATTGGCCGAAATTGGCGCCCGCGTGCGTTAGTCAAAATTTTTACATTAGTCGAAACCATGTCGTCCTATGGGAGGCTAAACATAAACCAAAAAAACCTTAACCGATGTCACTTAACCGATGGACTATTATTATACCAGTTAAGGCCCCCTGAGCTATACATCTCTTTTTCAGAAGTGACTTCGCTATCACAAATGATAGCTCAACGAAGTGGCTTATCATATGATGGAAATTCATAGCAGCCAGATGCTCCAAACGCACTTTGATTCTAAATGTGAAGGGAAAAAACGGAGGACCCAGAGAAAAATCCACGTGACGTTTCGGGAGAACATGCAAACTCCAAATTTACAGGCATCAGGGTCGGGGTCGAACCCACGACATCCTGTATACCAGGCGAGGTAGTTAACATCTCACTACTGGTGGCAGGCCTCACTGAGCCGGCGTCGCTGTCAATCCTGGGCTTCAAATCTGGGTTTCAGCCACCTGCGATTAGACCGGGTTCTCAAGTGCATTGAGTTCATGGTCTCAACCGGGTCACGGACAACTGCAAAAAGAGTAAATCCATCCCATTAGATTTAGTTGTCTACTTGGTTTGGCTACATTCCAAAGTGTGCGCTTGAAAGGATCTTGGAGGTAGCCCTGTTGGTGATCACTGCCATTGGTTGTTCGCGACGAAGGGTCTCACTGCCAGAGGTCGCAACCGGGTACCCGATACCCGTACCCTACCCGATGGCCGGGTACGGGTACCCGTTTGCGACCCTCGTGCGGCCGGGTACGGGTAGGCCGTGAGTCACTGATGAGTAACTGTTTGTCACTCATTTCCCAACGTCTTGTCTCTTCTCACAATTCAAGTTCCTAGGATCAACCCACCCGCGCCTGCAACATGGCTTCATCCCAGAGGTCGCAATCGGGTACCCGTACCCTACCCGATACCCGGCCGGGTACGGGTAGCCGGGTATCGGGTAGGGTACGGGTACGGGTACCCATTTGCGACCCTGGTGCGGCCAGGTACGGGTAAGGAATCAAAACCCGTTTGCGACCTCTGCTCACTGCTCTGCGAGACATCAAAACGGATTCTTCATCTCCACGACCTGATGCCATTAACACAATTGGGGGGAAGATTCAGTTATTTATTTTGGCTCTCTGGGCCCTATGCACTTCCACGGAAGCCTGAGGAATCTTCAGCAATGTGTGTGTGCGTCCACCCCTCCCCTGCGTGTCCACCGCTCGTCCACCGCTCGCTCCCAGGGCCCCGTCAACGACTCTCTGCTTCTCACCCCGTCGGAGGAGCTCGCCTTGTGTCGTCACTACGAGCGCTGCCTCCAAGACCTGTGCACCAAGTTCAAGCCGCCCATGCCCCGCTCCACACAGGTTCGACTCCCGCTGCACAGCTTTGCGCCCGTGACGCCTTTGGCACGATTGGAATAACATTGGGAAAAAAGACGACGGGATAAATGATTGATGTAACTCGTGTCTCCCATGTGTGTGACTTGCAGGCTATCGCCTGCTGCTACTTTAAGAGGTTTTATCTTAACAACTCGGTGATGGAATATCATCCACGCAACATCCTGTGAGTGTTATCACATTCCATTAGTGAGGTCAGTTCTGACAGCGGTGTGACCAAGTGCCCCAGAATTTTTTTTCGGTAAAGTCACGTAGGTAAAAAATAATAGAAATAAAATAATAATAAATGAAAATAAATCAATTAAATCACGACGTTTCGGAGGCAACACAAGTCTCCGTCTTCAGGTGGGACCGTCACAGCTAAATTTACTGCATCCAGTAATTTACTGTATCAAGTAAATTTAGCTGTGACGGTCTCACCTGAAGACGGAGACTTGTGTTGCCTCCGAAACGTCGTGATTTAATTGATTTTCATTTATTGTTATTTTATTTCTATTATTTTTTACCTACGTGACTTTACCGAAAAAACCTAAGTGTATGAATCCTTGCAGTCACGAAAGCTTCAAATTTAGAATTAATGCCCCAAATAAGTTTTAGGGTTTTTTTTTTATCCAGTAGTTTATGCTTCAATTTTTTAGTGAGTAGAGCATGTGCGTGAATCATGGGTAAAATGCAACACTACCTTTAAGTGATGAGTTAATTTGATGAATGCTGAACATTCATTCGTAATGCCAACATACGGGCTATGCATTCACTCGAGTCTTACATCTTAAGCACAAGGTTTCTGAACAAAAACTTAAAATGTAATCGTGGGCCGCATGAAATGATGAAGCCATTGGCCATGTGAAATGAACTCGCGGTCCGTATGAAATTATGCCCCAAGCCATTTGATATAAAGTCACGGGCTGAATGAAATGAAATATGAAATGAAGTCGTGCGTCATAGGTTCCTCACCCCTGCACCAACCCTCGATCCTAAACCAATCCAGCCGCCCTGACGCCTTGCTGATGTCGGGACGCAGTTACAAAGTAGGCGCACGGTTCAGGTGCTTGCAGCGACGGATTATAATTATCGTTCGCAGGCCGTTTCCAAAATTAAACTACATTTTTATTATATTTTACCAGGTAAGGTCCACTGAGCTATGTAGCTCTTTTTCAGAAGCAATTTGGCCACAAATTATAGCCCACTTCAGCAATTGTTTCGTGCTGTGGTTGTCCCACCTGATGACGGACGCTTGTGTTGCGCCCGAAACGTCGTGATTTATTATTTTATCTCTATTATTATTTCTATCATTTTATTATTTATTTTTATTACTTATTTTTATTTTTACCTACGTGACTTTATCGAAAAAACCTAAGAGTATGAATCCTTGCAGTCACGAAAGCTTCAAATCTAGAATTAACACAAATTATAGCTCAACCACGTGGTTTATCACGTGTAAATTGATGGCAGCCAAACACTCTAAACGCAAGTTTCTAAATGTGGAGGGAAAAACCGGAGGACCCGGAGAAAAATCCACGCGACCACGGGGAGAGAGAGACACGCAAACACCAAATATGCAACGGGCGTCAGGGTCGGATCGAACCCACGTCCTCCTGTATACCAGGCGAGGTAGTTAACATCTCACTGCTGGTGGCAGGCCTCACGGGGGCCGTGTGAAGTCACGGCTCGTAGGTTCCCTACTGCTTTGCGTTGGAACCGTCGCACATACTCACAATTTCCTTAAACACGTTCCCCACCCCCCCCACCACCGGCTTTCTCCCCCCGCGATAGGCTGACGGCCGCCTTCCTGGCGTGCAAGGCGGACGAGTTCAACGTGTCGAGCATGCAGTTCGTGGGCAACCTGCAGCAGGAGGCGGAGAGCGGGCGCGAGCAGGCGCTGCAGCTGGTGCTGGCCCACGAGCTGCTGCTCACGCAGGAGCTGCGCTTCCACCTCACCATTCACACGCCCTACCGCCCGCTCGAGGGCTTCCTCATTCACATCAAGGTGCGGACGATGCGGTGCCACGGAGATACGCGGACGGGCGCCACGGTGGCGAGATGTTAACTGCCTCGCCTGGTATACAGGAGGTTGTGGGTTCGATCCCCACCCTGACGCCTGTTGTATATTTGGAGTTTGCATGTGTCTCGCTCTCCCCGTGGTCAACATGGATTTTTCTCTCGGGTCCTCTGGTTTTTCACCTCATTTAGCGTATTTGCCTGCTAGCACGTTCCTTCGGAGGGGGAAGGTAGGAACTTGGTTGGACAGCGCATTCGCGCGGTCCGTGTAACGCGGCGCAAGCTGCGTCACGTGGTGCTGAGCCCGCCCGAAGTGCTCTATGAAATACAAATCGAGGGCGTGGCTATGCACGACAGACAGACAGACAAATAATCCCTGGTGGGCAGTGTGGAACTGTTGTTCCTACCTGTATAAATGTCCACGTGATAAGCCACTTTGTCAGGCTATCATTTTTGGCCAGGTCGCTTCTGAAAAAGATCTATATATTCAGTGAGCCTTACCTGGTAAAATGTAAAAAAAAATGTTAGTTTACGGACAGACCCGTGGTGTACACACATGTTCGCCTGCCCATTTGAGGGCGCAAATATTTTTCGGCTGTGTCCACTGTGTCAGCTGGTGGAGGGTGTTATGACACGTGTTTGGCCAGACTTTCACTCGTAATAAAAGTATTTTTGGGTTGGATTGCGTAAATTTAAATGTGTCGTAAACCCACCACCATCAGACACAGCCAATCAGTACGGTTTACACTATGGGATCTCTTTTACCAGTGGCAAAATATAGTAGTAGGTTTTTACCCTTTTAAACTGGTACAGTCAGTTTTGTACCAGTTTAAAAGGGTAAAAACCTACTACTAAATCAGTACGGTTGTTTGTGACGTTACTACTTCAGTGTTGGAGAGTAAAGCCACAACATTTACAATTTTAGTACTGTGACATTTTACTGGTAATTACAACCAGCTCCATCAGGAAAATTGTGCCGGAATTGTTAACAAACAGTTACGTGACCAACCCAAAAAAAAAAACTAAACTGGTGAATCCGTGTTCACCCTCTCCACCTGTGCCGTCGACGGCGCCGCCAACGGCAGACGAACTTCGCGGAAGTCGCGCAGGCCGAGGCTCTGCGTAAAGGGGCGGAGGAGTTCCTGCAGCGGGCGCTGTCGACGGACGCGTGTCTCCTGGCGAGCCCCGCGCAGATCGCCCTCGCGGCCCTCCTCGCCGGAGCGTCGCGAACCTCCGTCTCCATCGAGCGGTGAGTGCCGTCCATTAACCCCTTTTCCGAGACGCCTGAAAGACGCGGGGCGGCTCCCCTGTTGAATCGCCGCTGAAACTGGGAACGCGCGAGCAGTTTTGGCGATGATTTTATTTGTGAAGGCGTAGCGCCGCTGTTTTTAAAGACACTGTGCTCACCGCAGAGAACTGTAGTGACACATCTTCTTGGTTCTTTCGGTAAAGTCACGTAGAAGGGAAATAATAAAATAATAAACATAAAACATAATAAAATAATTCTCACGACGTTTCGGCCACAACGCAAGCAGCCGTCCTCAGGTGAAGAACAGGTCTGTCGGGGAGACAGCGTCTGAATTAAACAACACCATGCTTGGAGCGTATATTTAAGCAGGGTTGGAGGGGGAAGAGCGCCTTGACAAAATAATTTGCATATCAAGAGGAATTTAGCATATTTATGGGAAATGCAGATATGTGATTAGTACTACTTGTGGAATGCGTAGGAGGTGGGCGGGGGGTTTCAAAGTCATATTATGCCCGTGCATTATGCAGGATTAGCAGCATCAAAGGGAGGGAGTAGGGGTAGCATTAATAAAGGGAAGGAATGTTAATAGTATGGAGCTGCAGCAACTAAACACACAACCGCAGTCTACGATAGCTGGCGCCAAACTGTGCCACGCGTCCTCCCGCGTGGTGGCCCTTTACTTTTGATTCTGTTCAGAATCAATTCCTTTCCGATGACGTAAATGTACATAATCAGAACGGAATCAGAAGAAAAACTGATGACGTACATGTACAGAACAGGAAAGGGTTAACATCTAGGCTTTCGCGGCCAATATCCATAATACAGGTTTTTCAGGTTAGATCGTGTAGATATAAATGTGTAGTTAAACCTGGCTATCGCCTGATGAAGCTGGTTGTAATCACCAGCGAAACATCGCAGTAATCGCATTGTAAATGTTGTGGATTTACTCTCCAACACGTCGGTGTACTGAAGTAGTAACTAATTGGCGTGTTGTGTTTACGTGACAAACCTTACTAATGGGCTGTGTCGGGTGGTGGGCGGCTTTAACGACGCACGCTTATATTTCCGCGATCTAACCCCAAAAAACCTTTATCATTGTGGGAGGAAACTGGAGCACCCCGAGAAAACCCAAGGGGTGTTGAGGAGGTAGGGTGGGTGGGTGGGTGGGCAACACTCAGCGGCTGTGCTCGACTCCGTTACGAACACTCTTGTCACTGTCTCCGTTTCACGCAGATACATCAAGGAGTGTCTGTGCGGTGACGAGTTCAAGGAAGACATGACCTATCTGATGGACACCGTGCAGAGTGAGTCTCTGCTCCCTCGAGTTTTTGAGCGAACCGTGATGATGTCGCACCGCCCCTGAATTGCCCACAGCAGTTTTATCCCGATTGGCCTTATCGGCGTTGCGAAGGGGAGTCATTTCACGCAGAGAGCCGTGTACTGCCACGCGCAGGGCACGCTGCTTATCCAGCGGCCACCCTGGTTATGACTGCGGGGTGTATTAACACAGCGGACGTCTAAAAGATGCCGTGACGTTGCTCGCAAGGGTAAGGCATCGTGTGCCGCCGTCGCAGGCCAAATTAGGCAAGTGTGAAAATGACCTCCGCAGGTATATCGGTTTGGGATTATACACGGCAACAACTTTTTCACTGTGTAACAAAGAAATATATATTTTTTGTTCCTGGGTAGGAAGTGTTATTTCATAATTGCTTATGCCTCAAAAGTACAGGAAATGGCTATTATTCCCCACAAACTTTGCTTTTGTGACCAGGACAGTGATATTTTGAAATTGACATATTTTCAATGAGAAAACGTGGTGTGCATTTGTGTGATTCCTTCACGTAAAGTCCTGGTCACAAAAGCAAAGTTTGTGGGGAATAACAGCCATTTTCTGTATTTTTGAGGCATAAGCAATTAGAAAATAACACTTCCTACCCAGGAACAAAAATCGTGTTACATAGTGTTATCGCCCCCTACTGTGAAAACGTGGCAGGACCCTCCCGAAAAATAATCGTGACACTCAGTGAGGCTTTCCTCGGCAAGTAAATGCCATTTTTAAATCCTTTAAGTTCACTTGCTTGCTTGCGCGCTTACGACCGTGCAAATCTTTCGGTCGTTTTTTGACCCACTTCCCGTGATCCAATCGAACTGACATTTTGCACACAGACTCGTTGTGCGTGACAATTTATTTTAGTGAAAAATTTTTCCAAAAATTTTACATTTTTTAGGGAAAAAAAAAATTCATATTTAATTTAAAATACCAATGTGATAAAAATTAAACTCTTACTCAAGAAAAACAGAAATGAATAATTAAATAAAACCGATGCCACGCATATAAAGGATTTATAGTGAAAAACTTTGTTTTTACAGGTTAATTTTTTTATACTCCAACTCGCCACACTTGAGTTCCAGTTTCATCAGAAGCAGAACCTGTATTTATCCTGGAAAAAATCCCATTACCTATGAAACTCAAGAACGGGACTGCCCATGTTTGATCCTGGGATCTCAGTTTTGCCGATTCAGCCCATGAGCCCCCAAATCAGATATTTTACTTGTCAGTCTCACCTTAGGTGTCATAACTCTTAAGTGGTTCCCGTTTCTTTGTGTGGCCAATAACAGTGAATCATGTGATAACCACTTGACATGAATGGGTTATGAAATAATTAACTTGTAGTAGTCGTATAAATAAATTGGTACGACTAAAAACCTTTGGGTGGTGCCTACCAATGGACTAAGTGTCTCTGACCCAGTCTATGACCCTTGATCCACCCAGCAATCCCCTGCTGATATCATTATATTGATGCAATCGATTGGTAAAATTAATGTTAAAAATATTTAATTTCAAGAGAGTTCACGTTAAACTTTGTGTCATATGTTGATCTATCATTGACCTTGCTGTTGTTGCTATCGCTGCTGCTGCTGCTGCTGTTGCTGCTACTGTTGCTGCTGCTGCTACTGCTGTTGCATGCTGCTGTTGCTGCTACTGTTGCTGCTGCTGTTGCTGCTATTGCTGCCGCCACTGTTGCCATTACTGCTGCTGCTACTATTGCCCCTGCTGCTGCTGTTGCTGCTATTACTGCTGCTGCCACTGTTGCTGGTGCTGTTGCTGCTGCTGCTGCTATTACTGCTGCTGCCGCCACTGTTGCTGCTGCTGTTGCTGCTATTACTGCTGCTGCTGCCACTGTTGCTATCACTGCTGCTGCTACTGCTATCGCTGTTGCTGCTGCTGTTGCAGACCTCCGGAAGATGGTGAAGTGTGTGGAGCTGCCAAAAGCGGAGATGGTGGGGACCATCAAGCAGCATCTGGAGCAGTGTGCCGCTCACTGCCAGGCCCTGGGCTCACCCTGTGGCCTGTACACCATCCCACAGCTCACGTCACGCAGTGTCTCTCTGTGTCTTTTTACGCGTGTTCATAAGTCCCGGTGTCTCTGTGTCTTATTTTCCGTGTGTGTGTTATTGTCGTCGTTCTCTATGATGTTGTTTTCTATGTCTCTCTGTATATCTTTGTCCATGTGTCTTTCTTCGTGTTTCTGTCGCTGTAATCCCTGTGTCGATGTCTCCCTCCATGCCTCTGTGTCTCCCTTGCTGTCTTTGTCTCTGTTTCCAATGTGTGTCTCTCGATTTCCAAGTCTCTCTGTGTGTCATCTCCGTTTCCTCCACAAGTGAATGACAACTCCTGCGTGCCACCACTCCCTGCCAGAGGTCGCAACCGGGTACCCGATACCCGTACCCTACCCGATACCCGGCTACCCGTACCCGGCCGGGTACGGGTACGGGTAGCCGTTTGCGACCCTGGTGCGGCCGGGTACGGATACGGGTAGGCCGTGAGTCACTGGTGAGTAACCGTTTGTCACTCATTTCGGGTAGGGTACGGGTAGGGAACGGGTACCCGTACCCGGCTGGATACGGGTACGGGTACCCATTTGCGACCCTGGTGCGGCCGGGTACGGGTAAGGAATCAAAACCCGTGTGCGACCTCTGCTCCCTGCTCACCTGGGATATCCTGCGGCAATGATGACGATGCTTGTAGATACAACGAACCACCGGAGCTGGTGACACGTTTCCCTGCTTTCTTTCAGGAATAAGCGCAAGACCGCTCAAGACGACCACTCGGACGGAAACGTGCAGAAAAGGGCCAAACTGCAAAAGGTGAACTTGGTAGACCCGTTAATTTCTCTGTACATTCACTCGCATCGTTGAGTACAACGTCGCATATCCGACCGCCTGTTGTTCCACCTGTATGGGGTAGAGTGTTTCCCCCTCGCATGGCTGGGTCTGTTCCGTGTGCTCTGGATTCCTCCCAAATGTATACAGACTCATTAATTGGCTGAAAACATCTTAATGTGTAGAGGTCCACAGAGCTTGGGCAATTGGTGGTGCCAGCTCACCGCCTGGCTACTTCATCTCTGCAGTTCTTGCTCATCGAGAGGGAATGAATAGGGCCCATCCATTTAGTACGTTACGCATGGAGGGGGGAGGGTGGGTTAACCCAAATGCGTTCGCTTGCGTATATGGGGGGGTCTACTGACAATGCACGCATAGGAAAGGGGGGGGGGGGGTGAAGCTTCGATAATTTGTCGACATTGGCCTGCAAATGAGTTAGATAGTCCGGCGGTGGACTATCTGTTTGCTTAAACACGTTAATATGAATCCTTGGTCGTTTCTGCGTGGATTAAATATCGGATTCGGGGGGGTGGGGGGGGCTGCGTCAAGCGAACGTACGCAAGTGGTGGGGGGGGGGGGGGGGGTGTAAAAAGTACGCGTGCGTACAGGGAGGAGGGGAGGGGTCAAGTTTTGATAGATTTTTGCGTACGTGCTAAATGGATTGGCCCCATACCGTGTGGTGCGTTACAAGTTGAATCATTGATTTTTCATAATGAAACTATAATTTTCTATACATCTTTTTGGTTCTTTCGGTAAAGTCACGTAGAATGGAAATAATCAAATAATAATAAATTCAACAATACAATAATTCTCACGACGTTTCGGCCACAACGCAAGCAGCCGTCCTCAGGTGGAGAACAGGTCTGTCGAGAAGACACTCTGACAGATTCTGTCTGTTCTCCACCTGAGGACGGCTGCTTGCGTTGTGGCTGAAACGTCGTGAGAATTATTTTATTATGTTTTATTATTTTATTATTTCCATTCTACGTGACTTTGCCGAAAGAACCAAGAAGATGAATCCCTGCAGTCACGAAAGCTTTAAATCGAAATTTTCTATACATGTTCGCCAATCTGACCTTTTCACGCACAGTAATGTGTTACTAGTCTTGTGCGCATTCACTTTTAAAAACAAACCATTTTCTAATGATCAAAGCAGTCTGCTTTATTTAGATGTTTACATAACTGACCTTTTCACATATCCGCCTAGACCTCGGTCCCCAGCGGCGAGTGGGATATGCTACGTATGTTCGTTCGTTGACGTACAGAGACGTGCTTGTTTATGAAGCGTGTTTATTGTTTTGTGATTTTATGTTTTTGTTCGGCAGGACGACATCTCGAGCGAGGAGGAATTTGACCTACAGTGACGCCTCTCAACACGCGCCTCTCTTCTCAAATAGCCGGGAAAGAGATCGTAACCCTCCGTTGTTATATTTTATTTTGCACCGCGTGCTCGGTTTGACGTCCCGACGTTTCCCCCCCCCCCCCCCCCCCACGCGCTTCTCCAGAGATGAATTCGCTTCGGCTCCAGAAGAAAACCCCACGGCTCCGTTGTAACGAAACGTCGTCGTACGGCACCGTGCCGAACCGCACGCGGCACAACTCAAAAACGCAACCGAGAGCCACGCGGCCGCGAAAAACCCGCGTAGTGGAGAAACGTTGGGTCGTATTCATCGGCTGTAAGGGGGGAAACGTATCCCGTCTAACCTCCCAGCGTGTGAACGCTTTCCTCGGTTAGGATCACGGGCTGCGGTGAGCACGTTTCAAACGCTCGTTTCTCAGCCTTTCATTTTGTACTTTTGTATTATAAATGAATGTGGTGACTCGATTTGAGGGTTGGGAGACCCCGTTCACCCTTAGGAAGGGCATTTCAAATAGCTTTAGACAAAAGTTTACGTGGTTGCTTTTCCTTTAGCTCGGAAACCCTTTTCAATGAAATGCATCAAAACGAGTCTTTTTGGAGATGAGCGTGATGAGCAACATGTTGTTCTTACGAGTTGCTTCTGGTTTTATCGCGGTTGTCAGACATTCGCTTTCTTATCCGGATACATTTTGTTAGTGTTAACAGTTGCAAATGAAACGGAAAGCAGAGCCGGTGTTTGAATTTGTACTTTTTTGAGTTTGGTGGCTTGCGATCATTGCAAAGTCGGATCGTAGGAAATGCAAGTGCGACATTAGAATTCGGCCCTGCCATCTGCAGCCCGCGATGTAGCCGTGCATATTTTTTAAACGAATGACTGTTAAGTTGAAATTAAACAATTTCAATAACAAACGAAACTGTGGTGTGATATGTCCGGTCATAATGATTTAGTCCTGACGAACGTTATCAAAGATGCCATGAATAATCGCAAATCCTGATTTGATGAAAAAATAAATGTTTTATTATTTATTTGCTATACTTTTGTATCCTGGTGACTATAATCAGTCTTCTTCTTGGTTCTTTCGGTAAAGTCACGTAGAAGGGAAATAATAAAATAATAAAAATAAAACATAATAAAATCATTCTAACGACGTTTCAGCCACAACGCAAGCAGCCGTCCTCAGGTGAAGACCAGGTCTGTCGGGGAGACAGCGTCTGAATGAAACACCACCACGCTTGGAGAGTATATTTAAGCTGCTGGCTTGGAGGGGGAAGAGCGCCTTGACAAAAGAATGTGCATATCAAGAGGAATTAGCATATTTATGGGAAATGCAGATATGGGATTAGTACTTCACCTGAGGACGGCTGCTTGCGTTGTGGCCGAAACGTCGTGAGAATTATTTAATTATGTAACATTTTTATTATTTCCCTTCTACGTGACTTTACCGAATGAACCAAGAAGATGAATCCCTGCAGTCACGAAAGCTTTAAATCGAAATAGAATCAGTCTGTGGTGGTGTGAACCCACATATCTACCGCGGTACTAACTGGCCAGGCGGCTCAGCGGTAACGCGAGCAGAATTCAAATCCTGCTGACTCAGTCCATCATCACACCGTGGTCGATAAAATACCTACCACTTTGTGAGGATATATAGGGTGCGTATGGGGTCCGGTAGAGCGAGCGGTATAATAGCCCATCGACCCTCCAGGGCCGATAAATTAACTACCAATTTGCGGTTGTTCGATGGATGGTCTTTGCCCCGCCATCGGAACGTGGAATTTCCACCACCGGCTCAGAGCTGTCAAAGAATAGACTCAATACAGGAATCGATTCTCACGCGATTTCTATATCGATTCTCGAGGTTTCCAGAGTCGATCGCGTTTAGAATCGATACGTATACTTCGACCCTTAGACTCGCGATTAACGTGTACCCGGTGGAATCGTAAATGTAAGAATCGATTGCTGAAAGCTCGGGGCGAGAGAATAAACGAGCCAGCAACAAACAGCACTTTTAACGAGTTGGAACAGGTCCAATAAGCAGGCATGGGGGTGAACTCCAGGTTTGAACAGGTCCAATAAACAGGCATGGGGGTGAACTCCAGCTGTAACCGAGAGGAATCGACAACACTCGATTCCGCAATAGTTTCAAAGGAGCGCGATTTATGAATCGATACACGCGCTGTACACAAACAGTTTCTTCCTGACGCCCGTGGGAGCCCGAGGGAGACTCACGGAGCCTCACTGAGCTTCACTGAGGGAGACTCACGGAGACTCACGGAGAGAGACTCACTCACGGAGGGAGCCCGAGGGAAACTCACGAAGCCTCACGGAGGGAGCCTCACGGAGGGAGCCTCGGAGGGAGACTCACTCACGGGGGAGACTCACTAACGTGGGAGCCCGAGGGAGACTCACAGAGCCTCAGGGAGGGAGACTCACGGAGGGATACTCACTCACGAGGGAGACTCACGGAGCCTCACGGAGACTCACGAAGCCTCACGGAGGGAGCCTCGGAGGGAGACTCACTCACGTGGGAGCCCGAGGGAGACTCAGGGAGCCTCACGAAGCCTCACGGAGAGAGACTCACGTGGGAGCCCGAGAGAGACTCACGGGAGTCTCACGGAGGGAGACTCACGGAGGGAGACTCACTCACGTGGGAGCCCGAGGGAGACTCACGGAGCCTCACGAAGTCTTACGGAGGGAGACTCACGGAGCCTCACGGAGGGAGACTCACGAAGCCTCACTGAGGGAGACTCACGGAGGGCGACTCACTCACGTGGGAGCCAGAGGGAGACTCACGAAGTCTCACGGAGCCTCACGGAGGGAGACTCACGGAGGGAGACTCACTCACGTGGGAGCCCGAGGGAGACTCACGAAGTCTCACGGAGCCTCACGGAGGGAGACTCACGGAGGGAGACTCACTCACGTGGGAGCCCGAGGGAGACTCACAGAGCCTCAGGGAGGGAGACTCACGGAGGGAGACTCACGGAGAGAGACTCACTCACGTGGGAGCCCGAGGGAGACTCACGAAGTCTCACTGAGCTTCACTGAGGGAGACTCACGGAGACTCACGGAGGGCGACTCACTCACGTGGGAGCCCGAGGGAGACTCACAGAGTGTCAGGGAGGGAGACTCACGGAGGGCGACTCACTCACGGAGGGAGCCCGAGGGAGACTCACGGAGCCTCACGGAGACTCCCGGACGGAGCCTCACGGAGGGAGCCTCTTACCATGGCGGGTAACAGCAGCAGTCAGGAGGGGCAGCGTTTCAGGATCGCCGGGGTGAACGCGGTGCTGGTGATCGCGTACGGAGCCCTGGTGAGTCGCGGGGTGAGCGTCTCGGGGTTGAGCTTGGCCGAGGGTCGAGAGCTCTCAGGGGTTGTAGGGGGAGACGAGAGGCGAGCTTTGGTGAGGGTGAGTTGGTGGAGCTTGAGTGACGGCAGAGGGGTGAGGGTGGGTGAGTATTTTTACCTTGCCTGCGAGTGATGCTCCTGCTGTTGTGGAGTGACTCATGCAGCCAGCTGGTGGCCTTTAGTGTGGTCCCTGATGGCCTTTAGTGTGGCCCCTGGTGGCCTTTAGTGCGGCCCCTGGTGGCCTTTAGTGTGGCCCCTGATGGCCTTTAGTGTGGCCCCTGGTGGCCTTTAGTGTGGCCCCTGGTGGCCTTTAGTGTGGCCCCTGGTGGCCTTTAGTGTGGCCCCTGATGGCCTTTAGTGAGGCCCCTGATGGCCTTTAGTGCGGCCCCTGGTGGCCTTTAGTGAGGCCCCTGATGGCCTTTAGTGCGGCCCCTGATGGCCTTTAGTGCGGCCCCTGATGGCCTTTAGTGAGGCCCCTGATGGCCTTTAGTGCGGCCCCTGGTGGCCTTTAGTGAGGCCCCTGATGGCCTTTAGTGCGGCCCCTGATGGCCTTTAGTGCGGCCCCTGATGGCCTTTAGTGCGGCCCCTGATGGCCTTTAGTGCGGCCCCTGGTGGCCTTTAATGCGGCCCCTGATGGCCTTTAGTGAGGCCCCTGATGGCCTTTAGTGCGGCCCCTGATGGCCTTTAGTGCGGCCCCTGATGGCCTTTAGTGCGGCCCCTGATGGCCTTTAGTGCGGCCCCTGATGGCCTTTAGTGAGGCCCCTGGTGGCCTTTAGTGAGGCCCCTGATGGCCTTTAGTGAGGCCCCTGATGGCCTTTAGTGAGGCCCCTGATGGCCTTTAGTGCGTCCCCTGATGGCCTTTAGTGCGTCCCCTGATGGCCTTTAGTGAGGCCCCTGATGGCCTTTATTGCGGCCCCTGATGGCCTTTAGTGTGGCCCCTGATGGCCTTTAGTGAGGCCCCTGATGGCCTTTAGTGAGGCCCCTGATGGCCTTTAGTGCGGCCCCTGATGGCCTTTAGTGTGGCCCCTGATGGCCTTTATTGCGGCCCTTGATGGCCTTTAGTGTGGCCCTTGATGGCCTTTAGTGTGGCCCCTGATGGCCTTTAGTGAGGCCCCTGATGGCCTTTAGTGAGGCCCCTGATGGCCTTTAGTGAGGCCCCTGATGGCCTTTAGTGCGGCCCCTGGTGGCCTTTAGTGAGGCCCCTGGTGGCCTTTAGTGAGGCCCCTGGTGGCCTTTAGTGAGACCCCTGATGGCCTTTAGTGCGGCCCCTGGTGGCCTTTAGTGCGGCCCCTGGTGGCCTTTAGTGAGGCCCCTGATGGCCTTTAGTGAGGCCCCTGGTGGCCTTTAGTGCGGCCCCTGGTGGCCTTTAGTGAGGCCCCTGGTGGCCTTTAGTGAGGCCCCTGATGGCCTTTAGTGAGGCCCCTGATGGCCTTTAGTGCGGCCCCTGGTGGCCTTTAGTGAGGCCCCTGATGGCCTTTAGTGCGGCCCCTGGTGGCCTTTAGTGCGGCCCCTGGTGGCCTTTAGTGAGGCCCCTGATGGCCTTTAGTGAGGCCCCTGGTGGCCTTTAGTGAGACCCCTGATGGCCTTTAGTGTGGCCCCTGATGGCCTTTAGTGTGGCTCCTGGTGGCCTTTAGTGAGGCCCCTGATGGCCTTTAGTGTGGCCCCTGATGGCCTTTAGTGTGGCCCCTGGTGGCCTTTAGTGTGGCCCCTGGTGGCCTTTAGTGAGGCCCCTGATGGCCTTTAGTGAGGCCCCTGATGGCCTTTAGTGTGGCCCCTGGTGGCCTTTAGTGAGGCCCCTGGTGGCCTTTAGTGAGGCCCCTGATGGCCTTTAGTGAGGCCCCTGATGGCCTTTAGTGAGGCCCCTGATGGCCTTTAGTGAGGCCCCTGGTGGCCTTTAGTGAGACCCCTGATGGCCTTTAGTGTGGCCCCTGATGGCCTTTAGTGTGGCCCCTGATGGCCTTTAGTGAGGCCCCTGATGGCCTTTAGTGTGGCCCCTGATGGCCTTTAGTGAGGCCCCTGATGGCCTTTAGTGAGGCCCCTGATGGCCTTTAGTGTGGCCCCTGATGGCCTTTAGTGAGGCCCCTGATGGCCTTTAGTGAGACCCCTGATGGCCTTTAGTGTCGCCCCTGATGGCCTTTAGTGAGGCCCCTGATGGCCTTTAGTGAGGCCCCTGATGGCCTTTAGTGTGGCCCCTGGTGGCCTTTAGTGAGGCCCCTGATGGCCTTTAGTGAGGCCCCTGATGGCCTTTAGTGAGGCCCCTGATGGCCTTTAGTGTGGCCCTTGATGGCCTTTAGTGAGGCCCCTGGTGGCCTTTAGTGAGGCCCCTGATGGCCTTTAGTGAGGCCCCTGATGGCCTTTAGTGTGGCCCTTGATGGCCTTTAGTGTGGCCCTTGATGGCCTTTAGTGAGGCCCCTGGTGGCCTTTAGTGAGGCCCCTGATGGCCTTTAGTGAGGCCCCTGATGGCCTTTAGTGTGGCCCTTGATGGCCTTTAGTGCGGCCCCTGGTGGCCTTTAGTGCGGCCCTTGATGGCCTTTAGTGCGGCCCCTGATGGCCTTTAGTGTGGCCCTTGATGGCCTTTAGTGCGGCCCTTGATGGCCTTTAGTGCGGCCCCTGATGGCCTTTAGTGAGGCCCCTGATGGCCTTTAGTGAGGCCCCTGATGGCCTTTAGTGCGGCCCTTGATGGCCTTTAGTGCGGCCCCTGATGGCCTTTAGTGCGGCCCTTGATGGCCTTTAGTGCGGCCCTTGATGGCCTCTAGTGCGGCCCTTGATGGCCTTTAGTGCGGCCCTTGATGGCCTTTAGTGAGGCCCCTGATGGCCTTTAGTGAGGCCCCTGATGGCCTTTAGTGCGGCCCTTGATGGCCTTTAGTGAGGCCCCTGGTGGCCTTTAGTGCGGCCCTTGATGGCCTTTAGTGAGGCCCCTGGTGGCCTTTAGTGCGGCCCCCTGGTGGCCTTTAGTGTGGCCCCTGATGGCCTTTAGTGTGGCCCTTGATGGCCTTTAGTGTGGCCCTTGATGGCCTTTAGTGAGGCCCCTGGTGGCCTTTAGTGCGGCCCTTGATGGCCTTTAGTGCGGCCCTTGATGGCCTTTAGTGAGGCCCCTGATGGCCTTTAGTGTGGCCCTTGATGGCCTTTAGTGCGGCCCCTGATGGCCTTTAGTGTGGCCCTTGATGGCCTTTAGTGCGGCCCTTGATGGCCTTTAGTGAGGCCCCTGATGGCCTTTAGTGTGGCCCTTGATGGCCTTTAGTGTGGCCCCTGATGGCCTTTAGTGTGGCCCTTGATGGCCTTTAGTGCGGCCCTTGATGGCCTTTAGTGAGGCCCCTGGTGGCCTTTAGTGCGGCCCCCTGGTGGCCTTTAGTGTGGCCCCTGATGGCCTTTAGTGCGACCCTTGATGGCCTTTAGTGCGGCCCTTGATGGCCTTTAGTGAGGCCCCTGGTGGCCTTTAGTGCGGCCCTTGATGGCCTTTAGTGTGGCCCTTGATGGCCTTTAGTGTGGCCCTTGATGGCCTTTAGTGCGGCCCTTGATGGCCTTTAGTGAGGCACCTGGTGGCCTTTAGTGCGGCCCCTGATGGCCTTTAGTGAGGCACCTGGTGGCCTTTAGTGTGGCCCTTGATGGCCTTTAGTGCGGCCCTTGATGGCCTTTAGTGAGGCACCTGGTGGCCTTTAGTGCGGCCCCTGGTGGCCTTTAGTGCGGCCCCTGATGGCCTTTAGTGTGGCCCTTGATGGCCTTTAGTGCGGCCCTTGATGGCCTTTAGTGAGGTACCTGGTGGCCTTTAGTGCGGCCCTTGATGGCCTTTAGTGTGGCCCTTGATGGCCTTTAGTGCGGCCCTTGATGGCCTTTAGTGAGGCACCTGGTGGCCTTTAGTGAGGCACCTGGTGGCCTTTAGTGCGGCCCCTGATGGCCTTTAGTGCGGCCCCTGATGGCCTTTAGTGCGGCCCCTGGTGGCCTTTAGTGCGGCCCCTGGTGGCCTTTAGTGAGGCCCCTGGTGGCCTTTAGTGAGGCCCCTGGTGGCCTTTAGTGCGGCCCCTGGTGGCCTTTAGTGCGGCCCCTGGTGGCCTTTAGTGCGGCCCCTGATGGCCTTTAGTGTGGCACCTGGTGGCCTTTAGTGCGGCCCCTGGTGGCCTTTAGTGCGGCCCCTGGTGGCCTTTAGTGCGGCCCCTGGTGGCCTTTAGTGCGGCCCTGGTGGCCTTTAGTGCGGTCCTGGTGGTCTTTAGTGCGGTCCTGGTGGCCTTTAGTGCGGCCCTGGTGGCCTTTAGTGCGGCCCTGGTGGTCTTTAGTGCGGTCCTGGTGGCCTTTAGTGCGGCCCTGGTGGCCTTTAGTGCGGCCCTGGTGGTCTTTAGTGCGGCCCCTGGTGGTCTTTAGTGCGGCCCTGGTGGTCTTTAGTGCGGCCCTGGTGGCCTTTACTGCGGCCCTGGTGGTCTTTAGTGCGGTCCTGGTGGCCTTTAGTGCGGCCCTGGTGGCCTTTAGTGCGGCCCCTGATGGCCTTTAGTGCGACCCCTGATGGCCTTTAGTGAGGCCCCTGATGGCCTTTAGTGAGACCCTGGTGGTCTTTAGTGCGGCCCCTGATGGCCTTTAGTGAGGCCCCTGATGGCCTTTAGTGCGGCCCTGGTGGTCTTTAGTGCGACCCCTGATGGCCTTTAGTGCGACCCCTGATTGCCTTTAGTGAGGCCCCTGATGGCCTTTAGTGAGACCCCTGGTGACCTTTAGTGCGGCCCCTGGTGGCCTTTAGTGCGACCCCTGGTGGCCTTTAGTGAGGCCCCTGATGGCCTTTAGTGAGGCCCCTAATGGCCTTTAGTGCGACCCCTGGTGGCCTTTAGTGCGGCCCCTGGTGGCCTTTAGTGCGGCCCCTGATGGCCTTTAGTGCGACCCCTGGTGGCCTTTAGTGCGGCCCCTGGTGGCCTTTAGTGCGGCCCCTGATGGCCTTTAGTGGGACCCCTGGTGGCCTTTAGTGCGACCCCTGATGGCCTTTAG